CCTGCGCGCAGTGCCTTCTGGGAGTCGTAGTCGGGAGCGAAGCGCTCACTCCCGGCAGGGGCGGGGGCGGCGGCCAGGCCCGAGGGGCGGGGCCGCGGAGCGGAGCCCGGGCGCTGAGGAAGGACGCGGGGCTCCCGAGGGTTGAGAGCTGGGCCGGGCGGGGGTCTAGGGAGGGAGGAGGGGTGCAGGGCTGGAGGGCGCCCCGGGATTTGCCCCGGGGAAATAAGGAGGCGGGGAGGGGCGGGGCCGCGGAGCGGCGCCTGGACCCGGCGGCGGTCCAGGTCGGGAGCGTTACCCCCTCGGTTGTCATGGGAACCGCAGCGTAGTGGGTGCTGACGTCACGAGCGGCGCGCTGCCCGCACTGCGGCACCCGGGCCTCTCTAGGCAGTCGGGGTCTCTGGGCGGCTGGCGGGGCAGCTCGGCGTCTTCCCGCCCGGCCCGACTAGCCAGGGGAGCCGCTTGGAACCGTCCGGGTGCCGGCCGCGGCGCGACGGGCTGTCGGCTGCTCTGCGCCCTTCTCGCCGTGAGTCGTGGGCAGGCGCACTGGCGTTCGGCCTGTCTTAGTCCTCGGGGGGTCGGCGGCAAGGGGGCTCTCGGGTCGGTGGGAGAAGAGGAACAATTGGGTGGGGGTGAAGGGGGGCTGCTGCTGCCGGCCGCGGGCGGGGCTCCTCCGAGGGGAGGGATGTGGTGCCTTTGAGTGCTGCCTTTTCCGCCCTTCCCTGTGACTCCCTCTCTCCAGTGTTTGGCATGATGTCCTGAAGGAGTGAAAGCAATCTTTGCCGTCTCTACGCCGGATTCTGTTTTAGACTTTTTAAATCAGTTGCGTACTGAGTGCCTTATTTCCTTTTAGGCTTTCAACCTGGTGCTGACTCTTCAACCGGTGAAATGCCTTCTTAATTGCATTCGAGAAAAGGTGATGGATGTGTTACATTTATAAGAAAAAAGTTACATTGATAGAGTCATATATCAATGAAAACTTATACCATTTAGGAATCCTTACCAAATGGTTGTGTGCGATTCAGCATTACTATGAAAACATTGTCCTTTTTTTGAGGCAAGGATGCTAACATGTTTGTTACCTGTTGCTTTAACGATTGCTGTTATGACCTTTCAGAAGATTGTTTAAGTGGACTTAGGGAAATTGTTAAAAACATTTGAGAGCAATTTAAATACCCAAAGCCTTTTTAAAGCCATACTAGGACTCTTGTTTGTTTAGATTCTTGCTTATTCAGCGATTGAATTATGTATGCAGGGTTTTGTTTCGGGTTTTCCCCCCCTGCTGTAAAATTTGACTAAAGAGTGAATTGTCCAAGCCTCTGCTTTTTCTCCCTTCAGGCATGTATTGACTGGTAGCCAAGGGCTTAGGGAAAAAGTAAAATGAGGTGAAAGTCATGCAATTAATTTCCTCTTAGCAGCTCCTAAAAGGATTTGCCAGGGAGAACCTTTAAAATAACAGCATATCAGGGTCAGGGCTGTCATTTTTAAGTCTAACCTTAAGTTTTGCTAGTGATAGTACCCATCAAATATTAGTCATTCGTTTGTTGATGTTGCTGTAGTACTCTTTGACATCTACACAAGCTTATTTCTGTAATGTATTTGCTATGTTATCATGAAATGATATTAACACACAATTCCTGTGTGCATTAAACTACTGTTACTTTTTAAACTACTAAAAATTGTGCATTTATGAAACTTTAAATGGCTAAAAAAGTAAATAATGTGAATGCATAGGCTACTTAGTCATGTACTTTTAATATTATAATAATTGACATAGGTAACTTTATTGAACACCTAACATATGTCAGCCACTGTGGCCGTTACCGTTCTTTTCATTGGTTCATTTCAATTTCCCAAGAAGAAAACAAGCCTCAGTGAAATAAGTACTTTGCTGAGTTCACACACTCAGCAAGTGGCAAAAACAAGAGTTCTTTCGATTCTACAAAATATATTACTGATGTCTCCTCCCCTCTTAAAATGGGAATACATAGATGAAGACAGCACGAGCCCTCCCCAAACTTACTTTGCTGGGAGGTGGGAGCAAAAAGGGGAGAGAGGTCATGAGCAGTTTACCAGGACAAAAATTCACTGCACAGGTACAGCGAGGTATAAGATCAAGATGCTGTGGGAGCTCAAAGGAGAAATATTTTACTGCTCCTCAAGGTTAATCATGCTTGCAAGAGAAGGTACCATTTGCACTAAATGTCAAAGGATAGCTAGAGGTTTGTAAGACCAACAAGGAAGGAAAGACACTTTCCAGGAGAGAAGTGTGTGTTTAATGTTATATAGGCAGGGGAAAAAAATTGGTACATTGAGGGCCTGCAGGCAGTGTTGCTGGAGTACAGAATGAGGGGGGAAGTGTGGCTGGAGAGGGGTAAAGAAAGTCAGGGGGTCACTTCATAAATTGTTTTGGACTCCATTGGTAAGGACTTAATATTTTTTTCCAGTGAATGATTGGGAGCTATGTAAGAATTTAAAAGAGAAATGGTTCCATCCCATTTGTATTTTAGAAAAATTACTCTGGTTGCAGTGTAGGGGATGATTCATTTTCATCGCAATAGAGTTATGAAAACAGTCTTACAAACAAACCCCAGAATCTTTCCATAGGCTTTTTCTCCCTCTTAAAGCTACAGCCTCATGCTACTGCTTTTGTGGGTGGGGTGGAGGAAGGCAGATGCAGAATTCAAGAGTTAGCTGAGTTTCTTCTAGAGGTTTCACCTTTAATTCATTGCTTCAACTGCGGCTGCCAGGTTACTGTCCTCTGTGAATAGCTTTGCACCTGTGACTTCCTAACTCTAGATAATGTGAAAAAAAAAAAAAAAAAAAACCCCAAAACTTAAGCACTTGAAGAACTCTTGTATCACACACAGTTTCTTACAATCACCTTGTTGGATTATATATTATATGCGTCACTTTTTTCTTAAAACTCTTACCCTCTTGGTGGTCTTGATACTTTCTCTCACAGTTTTTCACCTGTCTCTCTGATTTCTTTTTAGTTTGTGGCCATTAAAATTCTATTCTGGGCATTAAAAAAAAATTCTAGCCATTGTACACACACACCCACACACGTGTGTGTGTGTATTTCCCTAGCTCTCCTTGATGGTTTACTGTATTTTATTGCTTATCAAGTGTAACTGATATACATACACATACATACATATATTTTCATATAGTAATAATGGTTATTTTTGAAGAGCTTGCCTTGATAAGTTTTGCATTAATTAATCTTTACAAAAACCCTATCATTGTTTTATCTTTTTACTCTCTTTCAAAAGATTAGGAAACTGAGGGCCACAGAGATTAATCCTCTGGCAGGTGGAACTGGCATTTGAATACAAAGATTTGATAGTGAAGCTGAGACTCAGCAGCCATTTTGCTCCCCTCATACATACATGCCCTGCTAGGCTCACCCACTGTCCCCATTGGACATGTCTGTTGTAATTGTAGCTAGTGGTTTTTCATGCTTGTTCTAAAGATCTCTTCTGTGACTCTTAAAAATCATTTGACCATTAAACCTGTAATTTGAGTAGCCACTATAATACTGATTTTACAGATGGGGAAATAAATTGTCTAAGGTCACAAAAGAACTCTAGGGGACCAATTCTTAGACTTGTGATTTAAATGACACTACTGTGATCCCCTCTCCTGTTCTATATTTCAATATATGACACTCCTGATAAAATTATTCTAGTTCTAGGAATGTGCAAAACATCCTTTACTCTTTCTCCTGCCTTTATGGAAATTTTTATTAATCTATCTAATATGTCTTAAATATTCTGCACAGGGGAAAATAGACCGAGCCAAAGGAAAGTAAGCCTTTTCTTGATAAATCATAGTTTTGACCAAGGAAAACTTCAGCCTTAAATTCTTACCTGCTTTGTAATCCTTCTGCTTCTGTGCTGTCAAATTTCAGTAACTGACATTGTCATAAACCTTGCCTTTGCACTCTTCTTCTAATTTAGGATAGGTTTAAAGTAGATGACCAAACTATTAGATTTCCTATCTCCCAGGAAGAGTAAATTCTAGTTTCTGGTAATAAAATACAGGAAGGGGATTTTAATAATGTCAGCCTGTGACAGTATACCTGTAGTTACCTAGAACTTAGCTCCCACAGTTGTGTGTATATGTATTGTCTTTATTAGCACTTCTTCTCATATTTTTTTTTGTTGTTGTTCAAATTTCCCCTAATACCAGAGGGTTATGAATACCCAGGAGTCTGGAGCATTAAGCATTAAGTCAACTCAAATTGTTTTCTTTTTTTTAGGCTTCAGTTTCATTCTTAAGATCATTGCTTGTTATAATTTAATATAGGAATTAATATGATTTGGATACCCCTTCACATTTTAAATAAAATTAATATATGTATTGAGTCCCTCCATGGCTTTTATACAAAATAATGTGCAGCCAGGCATTTATTTGAGAAAGATGGTGAAACTGCTTATACTAAATTGCTTTGTTTTGGCAGCATTTTCAGGGGCAGGCGTGGAGTATTTAATTCACTATCTGTGAGTGTGCAACCTTCAAGCATAACTTTACTAATGTAATAGTGTATGCTTTTGGAAAAGTTAATCCTGAGAGGGAGTTTCTTAGAAGTGCATTGGAACCTTCATTATTTACTTGAAACTCTTTTTAAAATGTATTGATATACCAAGTTAGATAAATTTGTTTCCTTTAAAAACAAATTGTTTCAAAGATGGTTTACGTTCAGATATGTTCTGATGTGTTTTGTACCTTATTTTGTACCTAAACTGGTTCACATATATTCAAGTCATTTATGTAAGATCGGATTAAGGGCTCTTTATTGACATAAACATGATATAATGGACAGCGATAAATTCTTGCATGCAGAATATTTTGTCATTTCTATTTGGAAGTTACCAATTAATTAATTAATTAACTCTCTTTGTTTTGACAGGATCCTGGTTGAGTCATTGCTTTATATCCTAACTGAATGCTCTTCATAAAGCTAAGCTATGCCCACTGGTAAGACTTTTGTGGAATTTCTTGATGTGATGTATTTTTTATGTAAAGTCTGGATTATTTTAAGGGGCTCAAGAGCCAATTAATGAATTAATAGAAAGCACTGACAACATTATATCTAGAGATATTTAATGATTTGGTATTCAATTTTCTATTTAATGTTGGTGATTATTGTTTGTATGTATTGAGCAGATAACAGTTTGATAAATAATAATTGTAGCATATAGCTAGTTTGTACTCCATTATCAAAATGATGCTTTATTCTACAGCAGGTGTCAGAAACTTCTAAAGGGCAAACTCTAGTTAATAGTTTAGACAGCTACTAAACTGCCATGGAAAGTATGAAAGCAGCCATAGCAATTCTTAAATGAGTTGGACGTGTTTTTCTTTGAATAAAACTTCCAATAAAACAGGTGACTGACTTGGTTTGTTAATAACTGCTGTGGGGGCATTCATTCATTCATCAGCATTTATTTAAATGTCTGTTGAGGACTTAGTGTTAGACCTTATGATAGTAGGTAGTTATGAAAGATACAGAATTGTAGGAGAGACAGACAGTATATTTGCGAAGACACAATTACAATTTTAACTTGGGTTTAGTGCCTGAAAGAAAAGAACAGTCTTCTATGTGGGAAACAGGTAAGTTTAAATGATGTTATCAGGAAGTGTTTCACTTTAGGAGCAGTACATAACAGGCAGCTTAACACCAGCCAGGTGAGGAGTTTGGGGAAATTTGTACCAGCTAAAAGTGCTTTCACTGGGGAAGGGATTTGTTTTGATTTGAATCTAGGTAAGCAGGCAGGCACACCAGGATCCCCATAGGACCTGCAAAGAACTTGTTTGATTTTATACTAAGTGTAATGGGAAACTTTAGAGTCTTAAGCAAGGGAATGACATAATCTGATTTATGCTTTAAAGAAAAACTTGTAATCATAATGTTTACCGAATGTTCATAACTGGGAAAGCAAGTATTATGCAAGATGATCTTTGACATAGAACTATTGTAGTTTTACAGATAAGAAGATCAAATTTAGAGTTGTAAAATATCTTGTTTAAGACCACATAATTAACAGTGTTTGTACTATTCATTGTAAATAAATATGATCATAAATAAAAATTTATCTTAGCAAAGGAAATTTTTAAGAAAGGAGGCCAGAAGGTAATAGAGATACAGGGAGGTGTGTCACTAAATTCAGAAGCAAAGTTTTTAAACAAAGGGTTGATTAGTTGTTCAAGTGCAGCTGTAAAACTCATGCAAGTGTTTATGAGATTGTTAATAATGCAGAAGTGTGTCATAATTGAGTTATACAGAAAATGACATTCTTTATCATTTATAGTTGAGAGTGAAGCCAAACTAAAAACCAAAGTTTGCTTTGAAGAATTACTTAAGATCCACAGTGACCTCATAGGTGAAGGAAAAAAGACGAAGAAAAAAACTATCAAATCTGGAGGAAAAAAATCAGTGAGTAATTGATAATTTATAATGGTGACATAAAGTTTTCTGCATTAAATTATGACTTTCAGACTAAAACTCTAGTTTTTGTTTTCATACTAAAACTCAAAGGAACCTTGCATATTAATGCCAGTAAATTTATGTCATAGTTAATAAAACAACATAAAGCTAACGTTAGTCAACCTCACTTTTGGAATATTGAGCTCAGTCTTGTGTACTACCCTATAAGAATAACAAACTTTTACATAAGAGTGTCTACAGATAGTGGGAAACTTAAAATTGGTTTTATTACACTTTTTTTTAAGAAAATCAAGATTGTTAACCCAGAATTGAGTTAAGAACTTAGGAAGTAATATCTTACTCTAGATATTCTGTGGCTTATCTTTATTTAGACTTATTCCTGTGATGCTCCCCAAAACCAGGAGAAATAAGTGGAACCTTGAGCTAATAATTTGCCTTTTGTACTTGAGGTATGCTTGTAAATGAAAGAACTTTTGAACACCTATATGCAGGGACTAAAACTACAGAACTCAAGGCTATACTAAGCAATCAACAATTGACTACGACCCAAATTGACAGTTTTATAAAGTCTTTAATAGTATCCATAGTAAATGCACTGTTCATTCTTCAAATGTACCTCTGTATTTCAGATGCACCTTTAATTCCTATGACCTTCCTCTCTTGTGATCTTATATAAGCATACACAAACTCGTATATGTTCTGGTGGTTGATCATAGTGTCTCGACAGCTGTTTTATGATGGGTTGTAAACATCTTGTAGAAGTTGTAGAAGTTTTACCCTGTTCTGTATTCTGTAAAGTGACCTGTTCATTTTAATATTTTTTTAAGCATCTATCAATGTAGTAGCATATAATCTCAATTAAGACAAAAGTAAGTTCTAGCACTGGTCAGAATTTAGCTGTACACCTGTGAAAGGTACAGAGTACACCACTGTACTACCTCACCTGGCACAGTTGTGCCAATTCACATGCCTATTTAGGCAGATGTGCTGCTTCTGGTGGTTCTTTGTTGTAGTGCAGTGGGAACAGTGCAGATGGATGTTGGAACATTGCACACTAGTCTGCCCTTCCGGCAGAAGAGGCAGTATACATCGGGTGAAAGCAAAAAGGGCATTGGAAACCATTATCTGCAGGTATTGCTATGGACGTGGTCAAAGGGAAAACTCATTTTTTTTCTCACACTTTCAGAATTAAGATTAGTGAATGAAAAAGATGCAGTAAATAATGCAGGAGTGCTAAATAAATGGGCAACCGTAAAATGGGGGAGAAATTGTGTACCTTTCCATAGGGTCCAGTTTGCATATGGGGGCAGCCCCAAAGTGAGATCACTAAGCTTGGTCTTTTCCAACTCTGTTATAGTAAATACTGTTCTACTCAAGGTTTCTTTTTCATGCAGAGATTATGCATACACTAGGAAAAAAGTAGGAAGAGATGTTTCAGTTTAAAGGAAGAGGAATATGTCTGGAGCATTTAAATGCAAAGAAAAAAATTCTTTGAAATGATTTTACTTTAGAAAATAAAGCTGCTTTTATTTATTAGATAACTGAATGTACATATATTCATTTATTTTTAACATAGACGTAAAAGTTATATAATCTCCATTAATAAGAAAGCTGAGGAAAGAGTTTAACTAACTTGCCCAGAATTACATAATGGTAGAACCAAGAAACAAACTCTTTAACAATCTTACAGCAGAAAGCTCTCTCTTAGACACAGTCCAACAGGACCTCTTTTGACAAGGCATGAAGAGATCAGACCTCTTCAGAAGAAGAGCAGAGGGTGCTCTGTACAGAATAGGCTGAGGTTGAACAGGAAGAAGACTGAGATAAGGAAATGAAGCTTGGAAAAAGTCATAATAAGAAAGTATATAATAATGGCAATTTCATCGTACTGTTTTCCAATTATATGTTATCACTGTGATAGATCATGGAGTTCATATTTTTAGTAGTAGCTAATATTAACTGCTAATATTTATTGCATATATATATATATATATATATATATCCTTGAGTCAGATGGAATTGTCTTAGTCTTTTACAGTGATTAACCTAAGGATAGCTTCATGAATAAGGTCAGGATAACATTAATGAATAATTTCTATTGTTCCATGTAAAGAAACAGTATAAGTAAAAGCCATAAACATTAGGATGCATAATCTTTAAATGAGTAAAAGGCATGAAAAATAAAGGCAACCTAATTAGAAAATAACATTGACTGGTAAACCACTTTAAAAGAAATTCAGATAGGAACACAGAGGTGATACTTTTGTTTACCAGATAATCATTTCAAAGTGGGGGTAGAGAGCAGATTTTCCAATGCAATGCTAGTATAAAGGTGAAATAGTAAAGCAAATATAGACAGTTCTTTTAGGAATTTTGGTTGTGAAAAGGAGTATTTTCAAGATGAGACTGCTTGAATTCAAGCCTTTAAATGGTGATAACACTAGGTAATGGGGAAATTGATGATCTGGGGAGAGGAAAGTTTTCTAGGATACAAGTAGGATACTTGTTTATAATGAAGACCATTTTGGGTGTATGGAAACTTTTTGACTTGATAACATAAAGTTCCAGCTTTCCATGAGACAAATTATGAGACTAGGCAGGAAAATGACAACATTGGATGTTACAGGTGAGGAAAGAAAGTTTGAAACATAGCCAGTGTGAAGATAAGAAAGTGCAAATGAGCACAATATGCACAGAGAAGAATCATCTAGTAACTTTGAAATCTTAGTAGATTGCAGAACATATTTTTGAGACAGCACCAGTTTTTGAAGTTGTGTGTTTTTCAGCAGTTTTCAACATTCTGGTTATAGTTAGGAGATGAAGATCGCTTACTTTGAACAGGGCTGGAGTATTGACAAGTTTATTGAATTTCAACATATAAATGAGGTGGATAGCAAATACGTAATAATGAGAAGTGAAGACTGAAGTGATGGAGCGTGAAATCAAAGTATCCGGAACTAAGGTTAAAAGAAGCATGAAAACTAAGAATATATTAAGTTTTGAACATAATGAACTACTATTTGTCACTATTAAGTCTGGAGTGGCTTGTTACTTGGCACTAGTAAGAATAACTACTTTTCACCTGATAAGTACAGAGGAAACAATTAGATTTTAGCTGTTGCTAATTTGAAGTTGCAGCTGAATATTTGCTTTTTAAAGGTAGAATTTTAAATTATGTTCATTATTATCTGATGATATCATTTTGATTTTACTTCTTGATTTTGTTTCTCATTTTATCCTTCGAACTCTTGTATCGTTATCTTTTATGAGTAATAGCATCTATATAAATTGTTTTGTATATAAAATATATTTTTAAATGGAAAATCTCTAGATTCTCTAGCTTTAGTTAACTTATGTATTTATTCACTTCTATAAATTCTGGCTTGAAATTAAGATTGGATTATCTTGGCTCTGTTAGAACTAGTTTAAAATCCTATTTTGTCTTGGAATGACTAAAAGTGTTAAAGTGGGTCAGACTGATTCAAAGTGAGTGAACTTTTGTGATAGAAAAGCCAGTGATATTTAAAGGATTCCAAACAAAAAATCCAGGCAATGTTGTAAGATTTGTAATTTCTGACATCTGATCAAATATTACCAGGGATTTTAAAAAAGGAAACTGATATGACCTATAACCAAAGGTGAAAAAAGTTCTAGAAAAGTAATAGGGAATATAAAAACAGATCTAATGATTGAAATAATATAGTACTTGAAATTACAAATAGACCAAATGAGGTTGTGAGCATATTGGGCACTGCTGAATAAAAAACCTTGAAGAAATAACAACATAAATTACCTGAATTCAGTCGCCTGTGTTGACTGATGAGCTATGACTGACGAGCTATTTACTAAGTATCAGGCAACTTCATAAATTGTTAAACTATTAAAATTGTTTATTTGTGTGAGTACCTAAGTCATGAAGATCATCAGCCCTAGACATTGGCCTCTTTTTATTCTTCTCTACCCTGCCTGGAGCATTTGTTTATCAGCAATCACTAAAATAGTCCCCCTCGGTGTATTTCAGTCCATCTGCCTGTTCTGTCTCTGGTGACTCCTCGCATCCCCTATACCTCTGGTCTGTTCTCTAGTTCTTGTATGCATAAATAAATTAATCTTAAAAAAAAAAATCAGCCAGGGAAAATAAAGACATTTTGTACAGAACAGAAAATGTCAAAACCCTTTTAACTAAAAGATAGTGGGCCAAAATACTAAAAGAAAAAGTTGTCCACCCAGAATTCTATATCCAGAAGATAAGTCTTGCAAAAATAAAGATGAAATATGTTTTTTGATGTGAACAAAAACTGAGAGAACTCATTGTTAGTAGGCTTGTAGTATAAGGATTTTTTTAAAGGAAAATAATTCCCTGTGAAAATTTGAATTTACAAAAAAGAGAAGCACATAGGAAATAGCAAGGGCAATATAAAAAGGTTTTTCTCATTTAAAAAATTCTCTTTGTAATGTAGCTTTTTTTATAACTTAGTTTTAATTGCAGTAGTATCTCTCAAGGTACCACAACCACAGTGTAGCTAGCTACCACCAAATCATCCATAGTCCTCCGCCTTAGTCCATTGGACTTCCTTCCTTCTTTATGACTTCTCAGTCAATCCTTTCCTGCTGTTTCAGTTCTGTGGTCAGCTCTTTATGACTTCTCAGTCTCTCCTTTCCTGCTGTTTCAGTTCTGTGGTCAGCTCTTGGGGTTAGGAAGCAAGAATGATAACAATGGTTTTGAAGGACTTATATGTAGAAATAAAAGTGACACTGTAACAAAGTATAGGAGAAGGTAAATAAAAGTATGCTTTTATAAACTCTAAAATATAAATGAAGTGACATTATTTGGTGGTAGGTGGTGGTAAGTTGAAGATGTATATTATAAAACCTAGAGCAATTATTAAAGAAAAACTGATAGCTAAAAAGCCAATGCCACAGTAGAGTAAAATATGGGAAAGGGAGAAAAAGGAACAAGAACAACAGCTTAGACAAATAGAAAGCAAACAACTCTGGTATAGCAGAACTTAGTAAATCAGGAATCACTCTAAATATAAATGCTTCAACAGATTCATTAGAAGGTGGAGACTATCAGATCATTAAACAAACTATTAAAAACCCTCTTGAAATATATGACAGAGGTAATTTTTTTTTATTAAAAGTACCCCTCATTTTAAATAATTTCAGTTGGGAATCAAAGCTAAGGGGCGTGCTTTGCCTGTCATTTGATTTAATTTGATAGTATTTAATAGCATTTTCAGTGATACATTTAATTAACTGCAGGGTAATGCATTTTATTAACTGCAGGGTTTTAGAAATTATTTTGAAGCAAGATAAATAACATGTATGTTTTCTTTTAGGGAAACATGCTTATACACAGTGGCTCTGTTATTGAATTGTCAGATATTTCTTTATCAGAGTAGAGATAATTCTGCCAAAGGAAAATAGCATCTTAGATGTGAACAATTAATTTACCAATTAATTTACTTACTTTACTGTGAGAGATTGGTGATGTAGCGCTGGGAGAATGAAGCCGAACATGTTCATTGGAGGCTCTAGAATCACTGTGTTCAAGTAAGAAATGTGATAATCTTCCCAGTGTGATACTAATTGGTGTGCTTTTCATAACCAAACTATGCTTAAACTATCACTGTGTTATCTTTTCCTAGCTTGACACTGTAAAAAGCAATGTGCAGAGTATTGGAGAAATTGAAAGTGATGATGTAAGTGCTAACACTAATAATCCGAAGAACATGGGAATCACTAAAAACAAATCAAGACATCTACAGTCAACAGCTGAGAATCCAGATGATGAAGATTGTGTAGAGGAAACCAAGCAGGACATGGCAAGCAGGAAGGTTGTCAAAACAACGCTCCAGGTGACTGCCCAGAAGAGAGAGCGAGAGGCTCCTGAGAAGAAGCTGGGTTCCACGCATCAGCAAGCACTAGCCGAGGCATTGCCAAGGGCTGTTCATCAGAAAATTGAGAAGGCAAATGAAGAAAGAGAAAATCAAAATTTAGATGATGAAGAAGAAGAACTAATGCAAATGTACCAGCTCCAGTTAGCTGAAGAAGTGGCAAAAATTAAGAAAAAAATAAGGAAGAAACTCAAAGAGCAGTTGTCTTTAGATAATTCCTTGCATGATGACAAATTGAGCAGTGAAAAAAGGAAAAAGAAGAAAGTTCCAGCCCAATCTAAAGCTGAAACAAGGTACTTCATGTTGATAAATATGCAGGGCCCTCTTAAGGAATCATTGATTTTCAGCTTTTGAGTGATGCTTTTAGTTTGACAGAAAATTCTTAGCCTTTAATTTGTTCAGCTTGCCAGTACAATAACAATAGCTAACTTTTATATAGAAACTTGCTGTGTATTAAATGCTGTATGAGCATTAACTCATTTAATCCTTGTGATAGCTCTTTAAGGAATAGTAAAATTATCTTATTCTGCAGATAAGGAAACACAGGGTTTAACTTACAGAAAGAGGAAGAAGCTGAACCAAACCTTGGCTGTCTTACTCCAAAATTCCTGCCCTTAACTACTCACTTGTATCTGCTTTTTAAATAATAGAAACTTAATATGTCACCTTTTTTGAATCACAAAGGCCTTTTTGGATATCTGAATGTAATTATTTGAATGTAATTATTTCAGTATCTGAATGTAAATTTGCTCATTTTAGGCCATAGAGAAACAAAGGAGAAAATAACTGTCTACTGATCCTCAGCAATGTTGTATTCTTCTAGTCTTCTATCTGTATGTTGCTTATACATACATGCTTACATATGAAAGATGAACTTTGGTTATTTAAATGTCTGTCCTGGGGAAATAAGAATGTCTTTATGTTAATTAGCCTTTTCTGCATTCTACATTTAGATAATCAATTTCAGGCAATAAACATTTTGTATTTGATATTCCCAATTCAGGGATAATATTATCTAATGTCCTCACCTGAAAATAACTCCCTTCTTATCAAAAGCTAGACATCTATGGTAACAAAATAGAATTAGTATTTTTTTACTTATCTATTGCCGCATTTAAAAATAGCTGTTGAATTTAACAGCTTAGAACTACTTGTTCAGTTTGTGTGGATCATGAATCTAAGTGTGGTTTAATTGAGTGCTTCTGACGCAGGGTCTCTCAAAGGTTTCAGCCAGGATGTCATGTGACCTGACTCAGGTGGGGAAAGGTTTGCCATAATGAAGCTTTGGAAGGCTTGGCAGATCCGCTTTTATGCACACTCATGGCTGTTGGCACATCTGACTAGTTTTTGCCCAGAGACATCAGTTCTTTGCCACATGGACTGGCTGTTGACTTCCTCAGAGAGAGGGCTCCAAGGGAGAGCAAGACCAAAGATCCATTGTCCTTTTTAGAACCCATGTTAGAAGTGGCATTTATTACTTTTTTCATATTCTGTCTTTAGAAATTTACCACTAGGTACAGTCCACAGGTAAGAGGAAGGGGACCACACAAAGATATAAATGTCACTGGAAGCCACACAGTTCTATAAATTTTTCTTCTAATAGTTGTTTATATGTCTATATGAACTAGTCAGTTACATGAACTTTAACTAAAACCATGCCTTTTGTATGACAGTGGCATGCAGAATATTAGTAATTGGTGATGGAATGGCATGGGTTTCTGAAATTAGTAGTTTGAGATATTTCCCTATAATCATATTATTCTACTTCAGTGTATATGACTAATTATATTAGAAGTCAATTCTTTATTATTTAAACACAAATAAACAGGGATTGTTTATACAACTCAGTATATTTCTGAGCTGCTACCACTTATCAGTTCATATAGTGGAGATTTTAATTTTCTTAATTAAAGATATTTTCTTAATTAGAGAAATCTTTATGAAGATGTAGTGGCACAACACATTGGAAAACACAAGCAATTTATTTACCTAGACATCAAAAATTGAATATTTGAAAGCATCCTTTTTGTTTTTAATTAAGTTATTTAGAAATGTATTAATCATTTAGCTGAAAGTAGATTAAAGATTCTTTGATCACTGTTATCTAAAAACAGATTCACAGTTCATAATTGCAATTTTATTTTTTTGCTGATATTTCAAACTCAGTTTAATTTGGCTGTATGTTATATCTATATAACTTATCAACATGTATTAAAAAAAAACCATAATACTTAGTCTGTCAGGTAACTATTTGACAGGTAATACAAGGAAAATAAGTAAATTTTTTTAGAAGGTGACAATGCTGATTTTAAGGTTTGTCTTTCCTGTATTAGTTGTTGCCTTTGCTTTATCATGAATAATAATAACTTATTTGTGCGGGTTTGTACTTTGTGGTAATATTTTCAGTACATTGACCAAGTCTGATGATACAGTTGAAAATGAGCAAAAAAAGGAATCTGGTTCTGGAATAGTTACTTCTGATTTTCATCAAGATGATGAAATAAGTTCAGTGTTACAAAACGTAGAAGATAGCGTGAAAGAAGACACAAAATCCAAACCCTCCAAGAAGAAAAAGAAGGCCAAAGCAGGTTTGTTGTCCAGATTAAATGAAAATGTGTGCTTGGTATGAAAAAAACTTGATTCTAGGACTTTTCATCCTTAAAAAATGTAACTGGAAAAAACCCATTGCAGAATATTTGGTATTCTTGAATTCATCTGTATTAAAATATTCATTTATTAGTAACTCTGGGTCTCTGTGATGAGTTAGTTATTATTTGAGTTATCTGTAATTCTTGACTTATTTTAGATTAGCTCCAGAATGATGTTTACTTTGTGGATGATATTGTGACATAGATTTCTTCTCAACACAATTGTTTAGAGTCCCCTAAATAATTAACTCAGAGTTGTTAAAAGCCAAAAATGGCCAATAGCCAATAACATTTCAAAAGTTAAGCCTGTATCTGTGTCCACTGTCAAATCCTCCTAGTTCCTCAGCTACTTTAGCTTCTGCCCTTTCCCCACTTTTTCTTCCATCTGCTTGTTTTCATTCTACCTCTACACTCTTTTCTGTTATTTTTCTTAAAAATTTTGCCTTTTTGAAAACCTCTTCATTTTTTAACTTTTCAGTTATCATTTATTTGGCCAAAAATTGGTACTAGGAGATTATGATCCATTTTTGAACTTACGATACTTATTGGAATTTATGAAACATTTTGGAATTTATGATATTTATGCATTAAATGATGCAAGGTTATTTCATTTTTAAATTTGTTCAAGTCCTATGTATATCATTTAAGAAATGGAATAACTTTTTCAACTTATATAATTTGTGGGAATACTTTATGTTTCTGAATAATCATTTTTCCCTCAGATATAAGCAATCACACACACACACACACACACACACACACAGAGCAGTCATGATATCCTGACAGTCTGGGTTTTATTCATTTATACCTTACTGTCTTTTCATCAACAGAATTTCAAAGTAAAATTCCAATTTAGTTTTTGTTTTGCTTTGATAATATATTCTTTCTGTGATATAAGAAATCTCCCAAAGTGCCAAAGATGTGTTTCTTTGTTATTTTCTAATTATAATTATTAGAAATTTTAATTTATGATGTGAGTGGCAGTAATCAAGAAACATTTTTAATCACGTGAATATTTCCCCTAGTGCAGTTTACCAAGGAGAGCCTCTTTTTCTTGTTTTGCAGTGTCACTTTTATCATAAATAACATGACTATGTAAATGGATACATTCCTGTAGTCTCCATTCTATTACATTAGTTCACACCAGCACCACCCTGTGTTAGTTACTGTAGCTTTCTAATAGATCTATATAGGAGTGTTAGTGTTTAGCCTTTTCCCTCTTCTTCAGCATTGCCTTTGTCATTATTTTCTCCTTGCATTTCTATATGAATTTTAGAAGCAGCTTCTCAGTTACCCCTCTTCACTTCCCCTTTTATATTCCTCATGATTTTTGTCCACATGGGTTAATGTCAAGAGAGTCACAGTTAACAACTCTCTGAATAGACTTAATATCTTTACAAAGCATTGAATCTTGCCATACATGAAGTTGGCGTTTATTCCATTTATTTGTATATTCAGTTTACCTTGAAAATATTGTAAGTTTCACCTTGTATTTATTTCTAGGTAGTTGGTTTTTCTTAAGCTATTTTAAATAACAGTGTTTTAAAAATTTTTGTTTTCCATTTGTTTCTGGTATATATACATATATAGAAATGTTTTTAAAAGTTTAACAAAGTTTGTTTTTAAATGTTTAATGTTGTATCTGTGTTCTTTCTAAATTCATTTTACTTCTAAGACTTGATCCATAGATTATTTTGTGAATTTTGTTGTACATGTACAACCTTATCATCTGTGAAGAATTATAATTTTATTGCTTCTTTTTGGTCTGTACACCTTCTAATCCTTTTTCTTCTCTTGATACACTGCAGTCCCATTATCATTTTAAAAACATATAGCAATGACATGTCTCCATCTCTTGTTACCAGCCTCGTGGGAAAGCTTTCATTTTGTTACTTTTGAGTATGATGTTTCCTAGAGATTTTTTGGTAAATACCCTCTAACAAATAATGGCTTACCTTATATTTTTAATTCTGATAACTTTTCTAATCATGAATAGCTTTTAAATTTTATTAGGTGCTTTTTCTGCATTTATTACAATGATCAGATAAGTTTCACCCTTTGTTTAATTAATATGGTTTTATTAGGACATTAAACCATCTTTGTGTTCTTGGCAGAAGTCAGAGTGCCTATTTGCTTGGATGTGATGTATTGTGTTTCACTTTTATCTGTTACTAGATTTGATTTGTTAATTGTTCAGTTGGGATTTTTATATCTGTGGTGAGGAAAGTGATTATTACTTTAACCTTGAAATATCCAGTTGTTGAAAAGTGGCTTTAGGTGTGAATTAACCATGCCATATAGGGCTTCATCTTTACCTGGTTTGTTTTGGGCCACTACCCCTGGTCATTAGCGGGGAAATAAACATTCTTTGACACATTTTAATATATTAATAAATGTAATATTTTACTATTAGAGTTTAGTGTGCATTTTTTATGGCTTTCTCTCCATAAACTTTTAAGTTCCTTTATTGATAAAAACAGATAATCATGGATAGTAAAGATTAGTTATGTGTATTCAACATATACTGTTGAATAAATTGTTATAGGAACAATAATTATACTACCTGTTATAATTGGCACAGGTTTTCTTATATGTGTGTAGTTTCAGATGATCATGAAGAAACTGATGGGGATGGTGTTCATGAAATAACAAGCCAAGACAGTCCAGTTTATCCCAAATGTTTGCTCGGTGATGACCTTGTCCTGGGAGTTTACATTCACCGAACTGATCGACTTAAGTCAGATTTTTTGATTTCTCACCCAATGGTAAAAATTCATGTGGTTGATGAGAATACTGGTCAGTATGTCAAGAAAGATGACAGGTAATGTTTTAAGTTGATATAACTCTACAGAAGTTATTTTCTGCCATTGAAAGTTAAGTGAATGTACCTATAGTTATGTATTATAGTCTACTAGTTGTATCATCAGACATTGATATTGATCAATATGATTTTTAGTAGAAATGGAAAACATCTGTTAATTCATGGAAAATGGAGGGAAGTTGAGGAAGCCTCTACAATTTAAGTGACCAACTTAGGGCATTTAACTTGTATTTATATTATCTTATTTTGCTCTGTGCTCTGTTGTCTAGTTTCATATTTTTCTTACAAAATTAATGTTACCCGGGTTCCAGGTGAGGTAAATGAATCTTGAATTTAATTTTTCCTGATACCATTTTGTACCTAACAAATTTGAAGGTCCAAATAAAAAAGTACAATAAAATAGATTGTTTTGTTAGAATTTACATATATGTTAGAATTTACATATACATATGTGTATATACTTATACATATAAGTATATACATGTATACATATATGTACATACACATATTGAAAATACAGAGGAGTAATCATGAAGATTATCAAAAAGGTCATTGACTTACTCAATTTTCTGAGGGCATGTAGAGAAAATATAACAAATATTGAAGATTTTGCAATTCTGTTTTGCTCTTTTTCTCATTTTTCCATTGTACTATTTGATCAGAAACTTAAGATTCTGAGGGAAATACTTTATTGTAGCTGTATATGCTGAAGGTATGATTTTACTTTATATCTTTATAATAACTGTGACCACTGAAATATAATGCAAGGTGATATTAAGATATTACCAATTTTATATTTCCTAAATTCATCATTTTCTAATGGGCAATCAGAATATTTTTTTTCTTTTGTATTATGACTATTCATTGGTTACTTTAAACTATTTTTATTTTTTCTCATTTCAAAATTATATTAAGGAGTTGTTTTAATGGAAATACCTGTTTTTGAACAGTGAACGGCCTGTTTCATCTTACTATGAAAAAGAGAGTGTGAATTATATTCTTCCTATTATGACTCAGCCATATGATTTTAAACAGTTAAAGTCAAGACTTCCAGAGTGGGAAGAACAAATTATATTTAATGAAAACTTTTCCTACTTGCTCCGTGATGATGATGATAGCCCTAAAGTCATCCTGTTCTTTGAGGTACGGATTAAATACAGCAGTTTAAAGTAAATTTTAATTGATATTTTAATGTAAGCCCAATTGTTTTTAATAATAATACAACAATACGATAATATGACAAAGTAGGGTGATAATTTAATCTCTGGGATTTAGTGTTTGTAATACTATAATGGAAATACTAGTGGGGGATACAATTAATACTTGCTCAACATTTATTTGTGCATTTAGTCATTTGATTTACTCTGTATTTAATCATTACAACACCATGACAGTTATCTGAAGTAATAAATCCAATCTCTATATATGCAATCCTCCATTCTTAGCCCACTTCACAAAGCATAAACTCATTTATATCAGGCTGTCTAGAAATTTGTATACTACTTGGATATATAAAAGTAACCATAAATCCATTGGTTAAAATAATGTAATGCAGTATATAACCAAAATGAAATAGAACTTTGTAGATATGAAGGGTTAGTGGAGCATCAGAGGCAGTCAGAGAAGATTTCAGTGGAGCACCTGACCTTTGAACTGACTTGTTATTTTAACTTTTACTAAAGCAAAGAAAATCAAATGACATCACCAGAGACAGTAGTTCTGTCAGGTTACTTGTTTTTATATCCAACTTTTATATGCGATTGTTTTGTGATCAATACAAAGCTGTGATTATTTTAAAAAAGAGAATTTGTGATGTAAAAATAAACTTTTTTTTAAAAAAGAGAATTTGTATTTTAAGAACTTTTTTATTGTGGTAGAAACTTGTCATTTATTTTATAATCTTTTAAATTTAGTGTAATAAAACTTTAAAAAGGTAGATTGTTGGATTAAAACACTTTTGATTATGTTTTAACAATATGTTATTGTCTACAAAACTGATTTTGGATTTCAGCTTTTTAATGTTTTTTGAGGAAAAATTGATAGTAATACAATTCTTTAAAACCATAATTCCATTTTTAGGTATTTTTCTGAAGGGAAAAATGACAGAAAATATAGATGTGTGCAGAGTACTTATTTCAGAACATATTATAAAAGCAAAAATGTTAGGACAGAATCATTCTTTAGTTAGTAAGAGATTTGATTAAATAAATTTTGGTTTTATTAAACCATAATTGAGCCATTATTAAAATTTGATATTTAAAATGCAGAAGATTACATATGTATATGTGACATGAACAGATGTCACTTGATGTTATATGAAAATAGTTTACAAGATAGCATGGAATTATAATGCTATAGATTCAGGAAAAAGGTTCTTAGAGTCAGATTTTTTTGTTGTTGTTATAATTTCTCCTCTTTCTGTTTTTTTTTATTTTTTATTTTTCATTTTACTTGTTTTTTTTTAACAGTTTATTTTTTACATCATTTTGTACTTTTTTTTTCATCTCAAATTGTAATCCCCGCGGGTTTCCCATCATAGAGTCAGATTTTAATGCTGATCATCTGAATTGTAAGTTGTTTTACCTGTGAAATATTTTTCTTAGACTTTTAGTTTTTTTTTTTTTTTCATTGAGCATGTATTACATCTGAAGACACTTTTAACTATATAAAAAAGAAAGATGGAGGGTCATATATTTTTAGTAGTTTTCTATAAAGATTCTTTACTTCAGTTGAATTTCAATAACACCACTATTTTCAAAGTGATAGTCTCTGGCAGTTACCAAGAATAGAGTCTCTGTGGCTGGTTGTAAATCTTTAAGTTATAACATCAGGATAGGTGATACACACACACACATATATTTATAAATTTCTACATTTATAAATTTATATATACTTATATATATATAAAATGTTTTTGAGAAGACTAATTAGAACATATGTACAAAAAAGAATGCTTTGGAAGGATGATCTTTTCTATCTTAAGGAAGACTGTCCAAGGAAGGGTTAGAATATAGCCAACCCCTTTTAAAACAATTCTTTGTAGTCTGTTCTTACTGTTCAGAAAGTGATCTAAACTTAAGCTTTCTCTCCTTGGTATAATTGTGCAGAGAGTAAATTTGAGGTAATACATATTTTGCCTGGGTTTCAAAATAAAACTTGCTAAAAATATGTATTCACAAAAGATAACATGGTTAAAAAAAAAGGGACTACCATTGCCTGGATTATTATTATTATTATTATTATTATTATTATTATTATTAAAGCTTTATTTATTTATGCACACAAGAATTGGGTTACAGGCCACAGGTGCACGAGGCAGGGGGTGAGAGGATTCACCAGAGACAGAGTGGGTAGCAGAAAAGGCAGATTGACTCAAACACATTGCTGAGCAGCAGTGGGTCAGAAGAGGTCTGCTGGGCCATGTGGGTCACCTCCCTGGCTGGGGATGGAACTCCTGCTGCAGTGGCTGCAGATAGCTTCATAATGTTGCACTTTAACCCATTGTACCACCTGGAAGGGCTCTCATGTAAACTTTTATTGTTATTTGCATATTTGTTTTGATAGGGACAAATCTTATTGCTTCTAAGTTTTGTTTTTAATAATTCAAGTTTTATTAATTATTAAGATTTATTTATTTATACATAGAAGAACTGAGATACAGGCCAGAGGTGTGGGGAGTGAGAGACTTCACCAGAGACAGAGTGGGGAGCAGAACAGGCAGAGTGACTGAAATCCACTGCTGAGGGGAACAGTGGGCAAGACAGGAGAGGTCTGCTGTACCATGTGGGTCACCTCCCTGGTTAGGGATCAAACCTATGCGGAGGCTGCTGATAGATTCATTGTGCTGAGACTTAATGCCTTGTGCCACCAGGAGTCCCTCATTCAAGTTGTTTTTTTTTTTAATTAGTTAAAAATTACTTTTTTTAAAGTAATATAATAGTTTATTTTTACATCATTTTCTGCATTTTTCCATCTCAGTTGTAATCCCTGTGGGCTTCCCATCACCAAGCCGCCCATGTGCCATCACCATAGTCCAGTGCATTTCCCTCCCCCACTGTTTAGATCTCATTCCGTACTCCACCCCCATAAAATGTCTCTAGTATATAGCTGTTCATTATTATTATCATTATTTTCTCCCCTGGTCTGTTATACTCCTGCTATGAGTGAAACCATCTGATATTTTTCCGTTTCTTTCTGGCTTATTTCACTAAACATGATCTTCTCCAGCTCCATCCATGTTGCTGCAAAAGGCATGTGTTTATTCATTTTTGGTTGTTGAGTAATATTCCATTGTGTATATGTACCACATTTTTTTAATCCAGGCATCCATTTTTGGGCATTTTGGTTGTTTTATGTCTTTCCAGTTGTGAATAAAGTAGCAATAAACATGGGGGTGCAGGCATCTTTTTAAATCAGTGTTTTTGTGTCTTTTGGGTAGATCCTAGGAGTGGGATTGCTGGGTCATATGGAAGCTCTATGTTTAGCAGTTTGAGGAACCTCCACACAGTTTTCCATAATGGTTGTATTAGTTTGCATTCCCACCAGCAGTGCAGGAGAGTTCTTTTCTCCACATCCTCGCCAACATTTGTTGTTGCTAGTTGTTTTAAGATGTGCCATTCTCACTGGAGTGAGGTGGTATCTCATTGTGGTTTTAATTTGCATCTCCCATATTAAAAGTAATATTAAACATTTTTTCATATGCTTGTTGCCATCTGCATTTCCTCTTTGGAGAAGTGTCTCTTTTGCTCTTTTGCCCATTTTTTGATGGGGTTGTTTTTTCTGTTGAATTTCATGAGTTCTTGTATATCTTTGTGATCAAGCCTTTATCACTAGTTTTGTGTGAGAAAATTTTTTCCCAGTGGGATGTCTTTGTTTTTTGTAATGTCTCTTTTGCTGTACAGAAGCTCTTTAACGTGATGTAGTCCCATTTATTTATCCTTGTCTTCACTATTGTTGCACTGGGTGAATGAAATGAAATGAAAATGCTTTTCCTCCCTATAAGGAGAGCATTTTTAAGCACACAAATGATTTTTTATTTTAGTAATTTGTTACTAGAAAAAAACTAAATTTTATGTGTCCTTGTATTCTGCATAGCAATTTTTTTTATGCTTATTACCAGATTCTTGATTTCTTAAGCATGGATGAAATTAGGAATAACTCTGAAGTTAAAAACCAAGAATGTGGCTTCCGGAAAATTGCCTGGGCATTTCTCAAGGTATGTTTTTCATCTGCTTTGAGCACTTTTAACATAATCTTCAAATCTGATTAATTGCTTTCCCAAGTCATCTTGACTTTTTATATGGAGCTGTGACCTAAGGTAGGTTATAGCAGTAAAGAATTAATAATTCAAACTCAGGAGATGCTCATTTAGATTATTAAATATTTGAGTTCCTACTGTGTGCTGGCTATACTCTGGCTATGAGGATACAGCATTGAGAAAAGACAGCCTGGCCATAATTTTATTCAACTTAACAACTATATACTAAACACTTCCTGTGTTTCAGTCACTCTTCTAGTTTAACAAAGAAGACAGACTCCTTGGCCACCAGGAGTTCATAATTCTAAACAAGAAAGCAGATAGAAAACAAATTATTTAGCATTTATCTTTGTTACAATATTTATACATTCTCTGGGGAGGTATGGTATGGATAATAAGACATCCGTGGAGTTAGGGAATGGTTTCCTAGAGAAGGAGACCTGAGAATGAGGCGGAATGTGGCAGTGAGGGAAAGTTCCCATTAGAGGGTACAGTCTATGTAAAGATGCTGATGTTGGAAGGAGCTGCTCACATAAAAAAAGGAGGGCCACTGAGATCGTAGGACAAGGACTGAGAGGGAAAATTGTGCCTGATGAGGTTGCTGACGTAGAGAGGGGTTCTTAATTAGACAGGGTCTTCTAGTAGTATGAAGGCATCATAGAAATTTAAAGAATAATGAGAAGTCATTGCAGGATTATAAACGAAGAATATTATAATCTGATTTATGTTTTAGAAAGATTACTTTGATGGATGGAAAAAGATTAAAGAGGGCTCAAATATCTATGCTGGAAGATCAAGATAGATAATTCTTGAAGTAGTCTAAGAGTAGAATGGTAGTATTTATGAGATGCTTTTGTCAGAGATGAAAGAGATGAATAAATTGATGTCTAAAAAATTTTAATTTTATACTTCTTTTATTTTTTATATTTTTATGAAACACATAAATTTGACTTGTAAAAAGTATTGAAAGATTAACCTATATTTATTATCTTATTAAACTTTTATAGTTGTACATCCCTCATTCAAATATGTCTAGTTGTCTTAACAATAGTTATTCTTGTTCTCTAGTTCAGTTTCTATATAAATGTGTTACCTGCATGATTTTGTGCTATAATAAAGATGCTGTGAAAACCCAACTGAAGCACTTAATCCACATTGGAGATTAGGAGAGACTTTGAAGAGGTACCGTCTGAATGCTGAATGACAGTTAGGTTGGCCATAGTGAGGAAGTAGTTTCGCCACCCTTTTCTCTTCACCTCTTAAGATGCTTCAGTTCTGTGGTTAATTTGTAAGTGTTGGTTGTCAGGTTTGTCTTTGATCCTTTGGTTTCTCTCCACTCCATATATAAGTGACACCATACTATATTTATCTGTCTCCTGGCTCATTTCACTTAGCGTAATCTCTTCTGGTACTATCCTTGTTGTCATATACAGCATGAGTTTTATCTTTTCTTGATAGCTGAGCAGTGAACAAAACACCCAAGTCTTACATTCACATAGTAGACATTGCCACCTTGTGGTCTTATTAGAAACTACTTTCATTCCTTTTATGCTACTCATTACAGATCTGCAATATTTATATATATACGTAGCATTTGCAGAAACAAAAATGTGTCTCATAGCAATTTTACCTTTAAGTGCTTGTGGATCTTTAAAATTTATCCTACTGTTAGCAGAAATGGCAGAGCAGATTTTTCCCATTCTCCATTCCCTGTAAAGGGTAAAGTACATTAAGTGCTGCTTTTATTGAACTACCTCTATATTGCCTTCATTAGATTATAAGCTTTTCTTAAAATCTAAGTGACTTTTCTGAGTGACTTCTTTTTGGAAAGTTTGCTGAACATTTATTCTCTATCTTACTAGATCTCTTTAACTTTACTACATTACTCACTCGAAACACTCATTCTATAACATCACAGCTCCCAGTTTATTAATACACAGAAAGGAGACAATGAAAGCGGACCTGTTTTGAGTTGGTAAAATTTTTATTCTCATAATAATCTTTTATCATAATAATTTATTTACCTTAAATGTCATTATTTAATCAGTTTATTGAATAACTCTTCAGGAGAAGGTAGATTTCATCACATACTTTAAAAAATAATGATTTTTGGCCCTCCCTGGTGGCGCAGCGGGTTAAAGCACTGCACTGAGAAGCTGAAGCCACTTCCGCATGAGTTCAAATCCCGCCTGCCCCGGAGGAGACCACATGGCGCGGCAGACCTCTCCTGTCTTGCCCGCTGCTCCCCTCAGCAGTGTACTTCGTCGATCTGCCTGTTCTGCTCCCCACTCTGTCTCTGGTGAAGCCTCTCACCGCCCCTGAGCCTCTGGCCTGTACCCCAGTTCTGTATGTACAAATAAATAAATCTTTAAAAAAAAATAAATAAAAATAATGATTTGAATGAATTTGATTATCTTAATAATTAATTTTTGAAAATAACTTATAATTAATGGTTACTTTTTAAAACTACTACATTATACCATTTTACTGTTTAAAATACCAATACTACACAAATGGAAAATCTGCTCCTCTGTTTAAAATAAGTATTTTAATTCTGGTCATCATTTTAAACAAATGCATATTGATCCTTGGTGCAAAATGACATTTGGCACAATAATATAAATGCTTTCCTAATAAATCTGAAATTGTATTTTATACAGCTATCAGGAAAATATTTAAAAAGCCACTTGGGTTTTTGTCAAAATGATCTGGAATTATGGCTTAACCATCTGTGTCTAGTTCTTCCCTTTACTTTATAAATGTAAGGAATTTTAGCATGCCAGATTAATAAGTCTTTGGTTATATATTATTTCCTTATTGGATGTACCTGTTTTCAGTGAGGTTGAGATTTCATTGGAATTCTTATTTTAAGCTTCTAGGAGCCAATGGAAATGTAAACATCAATTCAAAACTGCGTTTGCAGCTCTATTATCCACCTACTAAACCTCGCTGTCCATTAAAAGTGCTTGAAGTGTATGAGTGGTGGTCAAAATGTCCAAGAAATCGTTACCCATCAACCTTGTATGTGACCATAAGAGGACTGAAAATTCCTGAATGTGTAAGTTAATAGCACATTAAAATTATTAAATTTATGTCCATTGTGTTGAGATTAAATAATGACATGTTTTCTCTTTCTAAAACGATAAGGTCTCTAGAGTTGTTAATAAATTACTACATTAGAAAAGTATACTGCAGAGGTTATGTACTAGACCTGTACAGTTCTTAATAAATTACTACATTAGAAAAGTATTGCAGAGGTTATGTATTAGACTTGTACTAGCTGATACTTAGAAGATACATGCATGAATTTTAAGTACTTAATGTAGATTTGAGTGTTAGGGGAAAAGGTTTTTTTCTTAATAATAGTTTTTAAAAATTAAAGATAAGCTTGTGTTTTTAAAGCAGGTGTTGACAGGTGTTTTCCATACACAACCAAGTGTTAAATGGTTTAGTCTCTATATGCTATATAGTCTCCATCTCAACTTTAACTTTGCAGCAAAGTAACCACATGTAGGAAATAACTAAATTAATGGGTATGAGTGTATTTCAGTAAAATTCTTTGTACAAAAACAGCAAGCTAGATTTAGTTCACAGAACAGTTTTATTTATAGGCACATTTTCCACAATATTATATAAATCAATATTCAATAAGTAGTAACTCTACTGGCATTTTCCATAGACAAAATTTACAAATAATTTTAGCAAAGAATTGGTCTTCAAGTGAAGTGAAACTTTTCCTGTGGTCTTACTTGCTATTAGACATTTGAGATGAGTTGTATAGTCTGTAGTTGATATAACCTGTGACCAAAGGCTTGATTTGAATAAAGTTAAAGGAAACCTGTTTTAAAGAATTGAAATATTTCAAAACCGTTGGACCTTTTTAATATCCATTTTGTGATTTTTAAAGCCAGAGAGAGCTTATCAGAGCTATTATGTAACATTTGGTAGGTACTGGTGAAGATGCCAAAACAAGGGCATTGTTACTAAACAGTTGTTACAAAACAATTTCATATAAACCATTGGAGTTCTTAAAAGTTCTTCCCAGCCTCTTAAGTCATTATTAATTTAACTAATTTCCATTTTATTTAGAATAATGTATAAATAGATATATAATTTTTCCTGGGTTACATTTTGGAAACATTTCTGTATTATTCCTATCAATTTTTTTTTAAAGAAGTATATTCTGGAAAAGAGCAGAACATTAATATAATCTATAAACTTTCACATTTTTTACATGTACTTAGATAAAACCATCTTACCGTTCTATGATGGCTCTTCAAGAGGAGAAAGGTAAGCCAGTGCACAGTGAACGTCACCGTGAGTCAAGTTCAGTAGACTCAGAACCTGGATTAGAAGATTCAAAGGATGTTGTAAAGTGGAATCGACTGCCTGGCCAGGTGAAATGTTTGATAATACAAGGTTTATGATAATACCAAGTTCATTTGGATATGTACTTTAAAGATTCCAGTAGCTTCTAGGGTAATTAACTTGCTACTTAAAACTTTATTACCTCATTCTTATCATTCCATTAATTCAGTTGACAAATAATTAAATGGAATAACTGTCAAGTGCATAAAAGCATTTAGGTCTGAGGACCTGTGGCATTTTCTTACTTTGCTAGAACTGCCACAAAAAATACCACATTCTGAAAATCTAAAATTAATTTTCTCTCAGTTCTGGAATCTCAAAGTCCTTAAAGATGAAGGTAATGTCTGGTTGGGTTTACTCTAAGGCTTTCTCCTTGGCTGGAAGGTGACTGCCATTTTGCTTTCTCTTCATGGCCTTTTCTGTGGACATGTATGTCCTTCATGCACATTTAGACACGGAGTGTAAATTCATTTAATTTGAGGGAGAACTGATTCTACTTCAGAAATACAGTAATTTATTGCAGGTTTCCATTATTCTGCTTACTTGTTTTTCTCTTCTGGGACTTAAAAAAGAATATAATTCCACCACTGTGGTAAGTAAAGTTAAATCTGACTTTCCATTTCAGTGTTTCCTAATTTATATCTTTCAAATGTATTTTTAGGCTTGCCGTATCCCAAACAAGCACCTCTTCTCACTAAATGCAGGAGAACGAGGATGCTTTTGTCTTGCTTTCTCCCACAATGGAAGAATATTAGCAGCAGCCTGTGCGAGCCGGGATGGATATCCAATTATTTGTAAGTATATTATCCTGTTCAATCTGTTTACAGTTTATATGGAGGGCATTCTTTGATTTTTAAAATTCATTGAAATATAATACTGTTACAGGGTAGCCCAGAGTGAACTGGGCCGCCTGTCTGCGGGGCCTCACCCGTGAGCTTACAACTCAGTTATACTGCAGGTACACACAAAAGGGTCAATAATGGGTTTATTTACAAAAGGGGAAAGGAATAGGAAACACAAAAGGGTCAATAATGGGTTTATTTACAAAAGGGGAAAGGAATAGGAAACAACTCAGGGAAAGAGAGCGGGATACAAAGTAAATGGAATACTTTACGGCTAGGCTGACTGATACTGAGTCACGAGGTCAGGAGAGCTGCTTCCCGAGTGAGAGAGAGCGTGAGATGCAATCGTGCCCTGTTTGTCCCTGCAATGCCCCAGAATTCCTTCCTGCTAGCTCTGCCCTTGGGTCCTCCCAGTTCTCTCCCTGGTACTGCTGGGAGTTGTAGTTTCCAATCACTGGAGTAAGGTGTAGGGTCTAGAAAGCTGGAGTAGGGGGTGGAGTCCATGACTCTGCAGAGTTCTTTTAGGACATCCTTCCCCTTAACAATACTATTAAAGAAAATAGGCTTCAGTGAAGCAACAACTTTTTCATAATTTACACTTTTCTGTATAGTTTATATTTAGAAGTAGAATGAGAATGATGAAATGAGGATATAAATATATATATTTAAAACATGCAGAATGATTTTTGTAAAGCATTTTTCATTTTAAATACAGAAATTTAGGGGCAGAGGATTAATTGATCTCATGAGGAATTTTAATTCAAAGTTGGCAGGTGAGAGTAGCCATAAATTAAGTTGTGGGAGCCCTCAAACATGTGTGCTGTGAAACAATAATTGGCTCATGAGTACCTTGTTGGAGAAGTCTTGTTACAATAGGAAAGTTGGCAGATACCCCAAATCAATCTCAAATTGCCTTGGTGGCACAACCGGTTAAAGCACAGTTCTGCAAACAGCCCCAGTGGTGATCCACAGGTGGTTCACATGGCGCAGCAGACCTCTCCTAACCCACCCATTGCTCCCTTCAGCAGTGTACTTCGTCAGTTGCCCTGTTCTGCTCCCCACTCTGTCTCTGGTGAATCCTCTCACTGCCCCTCCACCTCTGGCCTATATCCCAGTTCTATATGCATAAGTAACTAAATCTTAAATATATATATATAGAAAGCCATACCAAAAAAGAAAAAAACAGTTCTAGAGTATTAGAGATTTCTTTCTTTTTGAAGTGAGCATTATTACCACACAGTCTCTATAAATCCTTTTCCTTAATTCTTGCTCAGTAATGATAACCAGTTCACCTCAGAAGGGAGTATTTGGCTTCTCATGCTCTGTCCTTTGCAAGAGAACTTACTGACTTTTCCTTGACTGATTTGCTTGTGTTCAGCTGGGACTCATAATTGGCTTGATTTGGCACGTATTAAATAATATTTCTCCTCATGAAATAGTGTTAACTTTACAAAACACAAAATTATTTATGTAGTTTGATCACCATCATGTGATTTTAAAAATTCACCAAAATCTATGTATAGGATAAAAAAAGATTCTGAAGAAACACCCCAAATATTAATAGTGATCTTTCTCTTTATGACACTGAAATGAACTTGTTCAAAATGTTCAAAATGTTGAGTTTAGATATACTTACTACTAAAACAAACAAACAAACAAACAAACCACTGCCTTTGGTTTTTCTTTACGATGCTTCTATTGGGAATTGGTTTTGACTGTTGGGTGTGCAGGTGAATGTTGTTCATACATTTGGGAAAAACAGACTATTTCTTCAGATGTCCTTTGTAACCCTTTCTTATTTTTTTGAACTCCATCCTGTTTTTCTGCTTCTTCTGGAATGCGTTCACTTCTGTGTTGCCACAGTTGGTACTATCCCATACATCTCTGCAACTTTCCTCTTTACTCATTTCCTTCGTTCTTTTTCTTTCTGTTCATCAGATTGCATAAACTCAAGTAAGCTGTCTTCAAGTTTACCAATTCCTCTGCCAGTTCAGATCTGCTCGTGAGATCCTCTAATAAATTGTTTACTCTAGTGAATTGTATTTTTCAACTCTAGAATTTCTATTTGGTTTTCTTTGATAATTTGTATCTCTTTATTGATAATTTCTTTCTTGGTGCAGAGCCAGCTCAAATAAAGCCAGCTGAGCATGGAGACTGAGGTACTGCCCCACTAATACTGATGTCATGAACATGGGACTTTGGGGAGACTTCAGACCTTAGTGTCCTTTTCCATGTCAGCTAGACTGTGGTCAGGGCAAGTTAAAACACATCTGAACTCAATGTTCTTACCAAGATATAGCTATTTCCTTGCACAAGTGCTCCTCAGATTTTTAGAAGCTTTTGCTTACCATCCAGAGTTCCGGAAAAGTTGATTTTTTTTTGTTCATGTTCTTATTGCTTTTTGTATTAACTTTTTTTAAAAAAAGATTTATTTATTTATACAGAAATGGGGTATAGGCAAGAGATGCAGAGGGTGAGAGGATTCACCAGAGACAGAGTGGGGAGCAGAACAGGCAGATGGAGGAAATACACTGCTGAGGGGAGCAGCGGGCGGGTCAGGAGAGGTCTGCCATGCCATGTGGTCACCTCCGGGGCAGGCGGGAATCGAACTCATGCGGAAGTGGCTGAAGCTTCTTAGTGCAGTGCTTTAACCTGCTGCACCACCAGGAAAGGCCCTGTATTAACTTTTTGGAGGGTGTGAGGGTAGAAGACAACTTTTCCAAATTTCTTATTTTTTCTGTTCCAGAAATAATTCTGTACTGATTACCATTTTAAATGGCCACTGATTTTACCACTAGGTGGAAGTAGAGATATAGAAACTTTTGTTGTTTAAGGTTTCATTATCTACATAAGATAACAATACCCAATGCCTTGTTTATCAACTGGTATCTTTTAGTTCTTCTAATATATATATATATATATCATTATTATTAAATTTTTTCCTGACAAAGTGCAGTTTAAATTACTTATTACTTAAAATAATTAAATCTTTAGTTGGATTTTTTTTATTTTCAGGTAATAACTTATTCATAAACCTCCAAATTATAGAAATTTTGAAGTAATGCAATTTTAATGTCTTTGTTATTTTATTAGTAAATTGATTATTACAGATTACTAGGAGAGTTTCTTTGAAGAGATGAGAAATGTTAATTATAGCATTTTCAGAACTTTTATGTGTGTGGATTCTTGTGTCTAAAGCAAATGAAAAACTTTTTCAGTAGACTTTGAATTTTTTTCATATTGAACATGTCCTTGATGACACAGTGTTCTTGTAGACAGCTGGCCTTATGTATGAGTTATTATAAATTGTGAATTTGTGTACTGTTGAATTAAGGATTCTCTGGAAACCTACTAATTTTTTTAATATTTTCATTAGTATATGAAATCCCATCTGGACGTTTCATGAGAGAATTATGTGGTCACCTTAATATCATTTATGATCTTTGCTGGTCAAAAGATGATCGCTATGTACTTACTGCATCATCTGATGGCACTGCCAGGTGAGTATACTTGAGAAAAACTTACTGTATAAAGTGTTTGCTATCAAAAAGCAAAAGGGATGTTTAAAGTGTGGTAGCTACTTTTATGCTTGCTTACATTTTTCTTATCAAGGTGTTGTCATAAATATTTATCATACATACTGAGTAGGTGTAGTGAAAGCTGCTTATTACATATTCTTGTTAAATATATTTATTTATGTAGTATATAATTTTCTAGTCCTATCTAATAGTCACTACCTGCACTTTTTAATTAATACTTTGAGATGAGTTTTTTGAACAGCTGAGATTTTTGTAGCTTATGAGTTCTTGATTGCAGGTGCTCCATCTTCCCTGTCAGCTGGACACAGAGGCCAGGCCCAAGGTGTCCAGTATATACCCAAATAAATGAGCATGCACCTCATGTTTTAAGAGCTTTATACTTTGTCAGATATTTGCATTATTCAAAATGTCTTAAATTTTTTTTATTTATTTTTTATTTATTTTTTTTAATATTTCTATTATTCATACAGAACTGGGGTATAGGCCAGAGATGCGGAGGGTGAGAGGCTTCACCAGAGACAGAGTGGGGAGCAGAACAGGCAGATCGACGAAGTACATTGCTGAGGGGAGCAGCGGGCGGGTCAGGAGAGGTCTGCCTCGCCATGTGGTCTCCTCCGGGGCAGGCGGGAATTGAACTCATGCAGAAGTGGCTTTAGCTTCTTAGTGCTGTGCTTTAACCTGCTGCGCCACCAGGGAGGGCCATTTTTTTTATTTTTTTAAAGATTTATTTATGTGTACAAGAATGGGATACAGGCCAGAGGTGTGGGGAGGTGACAGGATTCACCAGAGACAAAGTCGGGAGCAGAACAGGTTGATTGACAAAGTACACTGCTGAAGAGAGCAGTGGGTGAGTCAGGAGAGGTTTGCCACACCATGTGGGTCAGCTTCGCAGCCAGGGATTGAACTCATCCTGCAGTGGCTTCATAGTGCTGTGCTTTAATGTGTTGCACCACCAGGGAAGACCTTTAAAATAATATCACAATAAAATATTTAAAAAGCTACTTTTAGAGTTTCAGTTATACTTTCTTTAGTTGCTTGTTCTATGCTGGATGTATTCTGAAAACATTAATCTTTATACATACATATATGTATCTTTTAATTCCAATAAATGTTAAGTATCTACATATAAGTATTTGTTATCTCAACAGACTTGGAAAATGACCTTTAGAGCAAGTTGAAATCCACCCTGATGTCTGTCTTCTTTACTTGGGCATTTTTCTCTTGTAACACACATTTTTAACAGCTACTTCTAGGATCTGTGGTCCTTCTATTACTCTTATCCATTTCCTTTTTAATATAAAATGTCTAATTTATCAGGATAGTATTACTCTTTAGTTTCTATTAAAGCACACATGATAGCAATTGGTGACAATTGATTTCCCTCACCATCTCAGCTGGGAATCTAGACCGGAATCTGCTCTGTTTTTTCTGGCCAGTTCTATCTGATGTCAAGTTATGCTAGAGAAAAATACACAGCTTATCTAAGACCAGATCTGTAAGTGTTAAAGTCATCTGAGTCTCAGCTCTACACAGCAATAATTTTACTTACTTTTACTCAGCTTGCCTTTCTCATTCCACTGACAGTAGATCCACAGCTTATTGCGCATCGGTTTCTCTGCACTCAGTCTTTCTGCTTTCAGTGACGCCTGCAGTTTACGGTGACATTTAGCCAGATGTGAGCTTTTCTGTTTCCCTCATAATACCTACAGATAAACCCATTTTTATATGTGCCCACCTATTTTTACTAGAAAAGTAGGGAATCTTTAAGGTTAATCTGTGACCTACACTTTTAATCTTTGTCCTTTAATTTATAATTTTTATTTTCTAGCTATCTTGTCTCTTTAGTAAATCTTTCTCCTCTCATCTTAGGAAATATGTTCAAATCTCCTTATCTTAAAAAAAAAATTTTCCCCTACTCTTTCTACTTTCCAGACTACCACATTATTTTTCTCTCTGTGCCACCAAGAGCCTTCAGTACATGTTGTCTTTACTTCAGTATGCTTAGTCTGGCTTTTTCCACTCTTACTCTTCCAGAGGGCAGCAGTTTCATGCTAATTTTCTGATGAATTGTTCAGTTTGCATTCGCCACAGCAAATTAATTACTGACCAGTCTTAATTCATGATTCTCATTGACCGCCTCTTCTGTTTTCTTATCATGACTTTGAGCAATTCTTGCTCTACTTCTTTCATTCCTTTTCCTCTGTCTGTTCAGTGAATGTTCTCTACAGGTGTTTGTTCCTAGGGTCCTTTACTTGATTATCTTCTCTGGTTTGTAATGTTTACTTGAGTTTCTCTCATCTTCTTCAGTTTTTTAATCCCACTTATAGGCTAAAAGTTCTGGCTCCCACACTTTTTTCCTGAGTCTGACCATTATTTAGATATTCTGGTAGTACCTCAAATCCAGACTTAAACTTACCTAAATCCCCACTTTTTTTCCTTTGACCTCATGTTTTAAAAGCATCCTTAGCCACACTGTCTCCTTGGGTGGGAACTCTGCCTTCTCCCCACCATCCCTTTCTGTATCTAGCTGATTCTAAACTATGTCAGTTCTTCTTCCTAAAAGGCTCACCATCGTAGCTTTCAAACAGTCTCATATCTCCCCACTCCAGCCCCTCTTATACATTTAGTAGGTTTATTTTGGTAAGTTTATTCTTTTTAATTCTAATAATTGTTTTGTGTTATCTTTTCAAATTTGTATATCCTTGTTCTCTGTGATTAACCTGAATTCCCTCCTTCCCAAATCTGTTGGTGGGTTTGTTTTGATTGGGATTCTACCATTGCTTCAGTGATGGAAGCCATCACTAATAATATTAATTCAGTTTGTACCTAAAAAACTTCATTTTTATTTATAAGTAGTAATTGTTTTTAATTGAATTATTTTTAAGATACTGCTTCATTCTGCCTGTTGTTTATTAGTACTTCAATTAATTCTTCCAATACTTAATAACAAGCACCTGAAGTTTTTATATTTTAGCTGTCTTAATATTTCCCTTCAAATTAGTGATTTTGTTCTTTCTGTATTACATTTCATGTACCACCTGTTCATTGAAAGTACTGCTATGGTATAAATGTTTATGCAGTAACACACATGCTTATTTTCACTTAAAAACATGTTCTTTCACTTCCTTCATTATTAGTTTGGATTCTTAGTAATTGAAGACCATATCCTGTATTTTAAGCAGCTGCTGAGAAAACACATAGAGTGATATTCTTGAATAGCAACTGTATACTTTTTCTTTTATGTGATAAACTTGAGAAAGCCTTAATTTGCTTCAGTTTTCTTGCAGTTCTTAAAAGGGAGGACTGTAAATCCCCATATTAAAAAAAGAAACATTATTTTAATTCTAATAAACTGAATTAAACTTTTTTTAAAATGCACTGTTACACACTCATGTAACTCCTGTCTGTTGCTAGATTTTTGCCTTTTTTAATACATTGACTAGAAATGTAACTGGCATAATAGTTTGCCCTTAGGACTCATACTTTGTCAAGACTGTGGGTATATGTGTAATAGTAATGTTTTAATTATCTATTATGTAGAAAGACAGTTTAATGTAGAATAATCTTCTATCAAAATATCAGTTATTTTCATTTTTTTTTAAAGATTTATTTATTTACACATACAGAACTGGGATAAGGCTAGAGGTGTAGGGGTGGTGAGAGGATTCAACCAGAGTCATAGTGGGGAGCAGAACAGGCAGATCCATGAAGTACACTATGAGGGGAACAGTAGGTGAGTCAGGAGAGGTCTGCCACACCATGTGGGTCACCTCCAGGGAGGGGATAGAACTCATATTGAAGAGGCTGCACAAGCTTCACGGTGCTGTGCTTTAACCCATTGCGCCACCAGGAAGGGGCCCAGTGATTTTAATCTTTTAGCCCATAATTTTAGTAATTTCAGTATGGATTTTAAGTCTTTGGGATTTTTATATTCACTATCTAGACTCAGAAAGGTTAATAGAGTGTTTTATTCTATTTTTTTTTTAAGATTTAGTTATTTATACATACAGAACTGGGGTACAGGCCAGAGGTGCTGGGTGGTAAAAGGATTCACCATAGACAGAATTGGAAGCAGAACAGGCAAATATACTGAAATACACTGCTAAGGGCAGCAGCAGGCGGATCAGGAGAGGTCTGCTGCGCCTGGTGGATCACCTTCCTGGCTGAGGATTGAACTCATGCTGACATGGCTGGGCTAGCTTTATAGTGCTGTGCTTTAACCCATTATGCCACAAGGGAGTACCCTAGAGAGTATCTTATCTTTAAACTACTATTAGTAAGCACCTTGAATAAGCAATGTACACAACCTAAATAAATCGTTAAAGTTTCTCCTGATATTTTATTTTTGATATATGTTATACCAAGTGTGATATTTTACCAATTATGTATTTGCTTAATCAATGGCAAAGATAGGTAGATTAAAAAAAACAGATAAACTTTCAAATGTAAATACAAGTTTTCATTTTGCTGTATATTGTAGTTGGAAACAATATTTATTTATACTTGATAATGACTGTAAAGATACCTATAACATGTGATCACATTATTTTTTATTGTTATAAAATTTACTTTACCATTGGTTGTTGTCCACTGCTTATTTAAATCCTGTTGGCTTTAGTGGTTATTTGAGAAATGTCTGTTTTTCAGAACCAATGTGTAATTTTTTATTCCTTCTCTAGGATATGGAAAAATGAAATGAACAATACAAATACTTTCAGAGTTTTACCTCACCCGTCTTTTGTTTACACGGCTAAATTCCATCCAGCTTTGAAAGAACTAGTGGTTACAGGATGCTATGACTCTGTGATCCGGATATGGAAAGTTGATATGGGAGAGGACCCTGCAATGCTTATTCGACAGTTTGACAATCACAAGAGTTTTATCAACTCTCTCTGTTTTGATATTGAAGGTATGTCAGTGATAACATATAACATATATATTCCAAATGAAGACTAGTTATATAAGAACTATATAAATGTTATTTTCACTGTGATAATGATCATTTAAGCTTTAGAGGAATTTTATGTGTTCATACTTGTTTGTAGGTATTTAAGATTTATACATATGTTCAGATCATCTCATAGACCTGAGCACAGAATTGGCACTGATGAAGTTCTGTTTGTAACTTTAAAGTATTAAATTCCTAAACATTTAGATTTAACTAATCTTCAATGTTACAGCCAATCCTGTTTCAAATAGGTAAATTTCATTGGATTAGTAATTATTATCTTAGATTTTTTTAATAACCTTTTAAACTACGGGGCAAAAAAATGAGAAATATGCAGTGAAACCTAAAAGGATATTGAGAAATATTTTTTGATTATAACCAAGGGATTATCAAATACAAAAAATCTAAGCAAAATTATTTAAATATTTGTCTAACTCTATGAATAATGTAGCTGGTATTTTATTAAAGATGTAAATGTAGATTATCAGCTGGAAGAATAAAGAAATTCATTACGTCTATTAAGTTTCATTTTTTACATTATTTCAGAAACTAGGCCTTCAGGCTATTGCTTTAATTAATTAGCATGAATTCAAATCAAAATGATAATATTGCTAATGTACTCAGTACAATATAAAGATGTTAATAAATTGGAATACTTTCAAGAAAGGTCAGCCTTAGATGGAAAGGTGTTTAAAAATTGTCATATTAGAAGTAGCTCATATTGTACAAGAGAGATGAAGAATTTTTTCCCAGATATTTGGCATTAAGATATTTACATGCGATAAAAAGATAAATTAGTATGTATTATTCCACTAGGTAGCTATAGGATCAAAGTTGCCACAGAGGGATTTTACTCAGAATTAGAAAGAACATGTGAATATGTAGTTTATTGGTTGTGTAAGCTGTTTTGTAAATGAACAACCATATGTTTGTAACAGTGTCTAAGATACTCCTGAATGGGTATGAACTTGATGGTCTCTGAAGTCGCATTCATGCTGTAAGGTGGTGTGATTCTAAGATTGATATTAAACTGGAACAACTGCCATTTATTATTTTACTCATTCTCCAGTCATTTATGGGTCTTAGTCATTGTGCTAACATTATGTGTTGGAATAGTAGAGGTGTTTTTCCTGGAAAATAAAAATTGAGTATATAAGTTGAAAGAAGTAAGCAGTACAGATTCGTGATTGTATTTACTATATAATTTGTTTGACTTTGTAATTTACCATATCTGCATTACACATTTGCACTGAGATGCTCATATCCTTTTGAACCAAAGTCAGTCAAGTCATCCACAATAATTCAATAGAGTAAAATATTCATTTGAAGATAATTTTAGGATTTGTTTGTGAATTTGGTTTTTGTATTTGGGATTTTTATTTTAACAGAAATATATTTTAATATATTTTGCTGTATATATATTTTCCTTGTTTTGCTGTATAATATATTTTCCTTGTTTTGCTGAAGTATATTTTCCCAATTTCATATTTTCGTTTCTACCTCTGCATAACATTTATAAGTGAGTAATTTTTTTTTTCTTCAAATAGGTCATCACATGTATTCAGGAGACTGCACAGGAGTGATTGTTATTTGGAACACACATGTCAAAGTTAATGATGTGCAATATTCAGTACATCACTGGAATGTAAATAAGGTATAAAATCATATTTCGTATTTTGATATTCAACTAGAGAAACTGGAAAAAGTGTCATTTCACATTACATTGTGTCTCCCCTTTCAAAAAGTGTTTTCTCAGTTCTTGAAAAATCAGTTATCATTGATTATCATCCTGCTGGCTAATTGATGATATAGTGGCTTAGTGAAATTTTCTTCACTGGGGCCAACCTTAACTCTTGATTTTTTTTTTTTTGAGCCTTAATTGTACAGTGACATTCAATTATACATTAAGGATATTTATGCTAAGTGAGGTTATATTGTCATCTATAAATAAGAATACATTTTCCTGTCTTTTTTTCCCTTGATCTAGTAATACCACACTAAAATCTTTCCCTGCTCTTAATCTTGCAAAATTATATGATGATGAGGTTGTTTATCATTTAATCACAGTCATTGTTTCATTTGAACTTGCTAAATAGTAATGAATGTCTGTGTTTGTTTTTGGAATTCAGTGTTTTTTTTTTTTTTTAAGATTTATTTATTTGTTCATACAGAACTGGGGTACAGGCCAGAGGCTCAGGGGCGGCGAGAGGCTTCACCAGAGACAGAGTGGGGAGCAGGACAGGCAGATCGAGGAAGTACACTGCTGAGGGGAGCAGCGGGCGGGTCAGGAGAGGTCTGCCACGCCATGTGGTCACCTCCGGGGCAGGCAGGGAATCGAACTCGTGCGGAAGTGGCTTTAGCTTCTCAGTGAAGTGCTTTAACCCGCTGCGCCACCAGGGAGGGCCCAGAATACAGTGTTTTAAGGTAGCTTGTATACTAAACAATTCTGTTGGATTTTTAGTTAAAACATAAATGAATCATTAAATTTGAGTTTGTCTTATATGTATCGACACAACCTTTGTGTTGCATGCTGCCTTTGTCCTTCATTTGTTTTGTTAGAATACACTGTTAACAGTTGTCCTTATCTGAAAATACTCTTATGTGATAAATAATTCTCATGAATTTTAGTTAAGTATATACAGCCTGTGAGTCTGTGAGTTTAAAAACAGTCTATCTTTAGTCATTTTTCACCAACTCTGTCAGATTGATGAATGAGGTCTTGGAATTCATATAGTCTAATTTCAGTCACATTGAGAATAGAGCTTTCTAATTACTTATGTACCTTAGGGATTGGCAGGGCTCCAAAGGTACAGACTTCAATTATTTGCATCTATAATGAAGACTTCATTATTTGTGTTAAGAATTGCATGTTTCTTTACAGCATTATAGTAACCAAAAGGCAAATTTATCTTGAGAATCGACAGCCTGGTGGTTATTTGAGATAGTTTTCTTTGCCATAACTAATGCCCTAGGACAAACCAGAGAGAACAATTTCTTGCTTGGTTTTCTTCAGCCAGTTTTGTGGGGGAATGCTAAGTTATATTCATCTGTCCATAAAGATGAAATGTCCCTGTGCTTTTGTACATGCTCGTTGGTAGATGACATGGATTTTAAAACAAGGGTTTTTTTTTGTTTTTTATCTTGAGCATGAATGTGAAAAGGAAAACATGTAGACAAAATCATTAACAGATACTACAAGCACGAAATTTTCCAGCACATTTCTCAAACTTACACCTAACAACTAACTTGTTAGGTGGTTTTGGTTTTGATATTGCACATTTGCATTTGTCTAAGTGTTCGTTCATTTGCTCAAATCCCACATAGTGCATACACACCCCTAATTGCTATAATTCAGCTCAGTAAAATCCCCATCTGGTTATATGACTTTTTCTGTGACTTTTAAAAAGTGGCTGGACTCAGTTTTTAATATCAAAAAGCAGTAAGCAGGGTTCAGCTGCTGACTACAGTTCTGTAGCCATTTGTACCTGACTTCTGCTGCTGCCATCCCACCTCTGAAGAGGAGACCATCTAGAAACAGGGAATAAAAAATAAGAAGGCTAAATTCAAAATTCTTCCTGTAGGTTGAAGCAGATCTTCCTTAAAAAAAAAAAAAAAAAACTAGTTTACTTTTAAATGTGGTAACATGAAGGTTCTTTCTATCTGGTATCACCCCCACCATAGGGTACACCCCACCAAATCGCCCACTGTCCACCACCTTAGTCCATCATGCTTCTTTCCTTCTCGGTTCCTCCCCCTCCCCCACCCCTCCCTTTGGATGCTTCAGTTGTTTAGTCAGTTTCAAGGGCTAGCTTTTAAGATTGTCTTGCTCTGGTTCCTGGTTTGATTTTTCTATATTCCACATTTTAGTGACACCAGCTGCCTTTCTGCTTCAGACTTATTTTATTAGCATTATCTCTTCCAATTCCATCCACGTGACTAAAGCAGACTTTCCTTTGACTCAGTGAACTTCAGTCTCACCAGTTTTACTTTCACAGTTTTTATTTCTCAACTGGTAGAACAAGCAAGGAGGAACTTTGGTAATTTTTCTTATGCGAGACATATCAACAGATTGTTTCTCAGTGTTGAGACTTTATTGACATCATGAATTATTGCTGCCTTAACTAACTGTAAAAATAACCTTAAAATTACAATCTAAATTAAATTATTTCAGAAAGAATTGATTATATATTCTTTTATGAATTATGTAGAGGTAAAGGTATGAGGAAATAATCTGAGTCTGAAATAGAACTTCAAAGTTAGTTCTGTGCATTTGAATTATAAAAATTGGAAGCTTTCTTATATGGTGATTTGTAGAAAGAATCTTCATGTTACCACATTTAAAAAATAAACTAATCTTAAAAAGGCTCAACACTAGACAAAGTTTATAGCAAAAGCAGTGTCACAATATGTTTTTAGCAAATGCTTTCTTGGAACCAACTGAATTTTGGTAAAGTGTGTGAAATACAAAAGCACATTTTAATTAAATGTGACTTTATATCATATCCAAAGCTATATTTTATCAGCTTTATTTTTATCCTTAATCGGAAGTCACTGGAAATCCTTTTGCCAACAACTATAAATCATCCCATGTAACATGTACAAGTAAACACAATATCTTAAAATTAATTTTGTACTATAAAAGAGGCTCGACACTAGACAAAGTTTACAGCGATAATTATCTTATCATTTCAGGAAATTAAAGAAAGTGAATTTAGAGGGATTCCAATAAGTTATTTGGAGGTTCATCCCAGTGGAAAACGTTTGTTGATACATACCAAAGATAGTACTTTGAGAATTATGGATCTCCGACTGTAAGTATATATAAATATTGACAGTTCAAGGATTCATAGAATTTATTCATATTTATAAAATGCAGCTGTGATTCTCAACTAGACTCTTTTGCTCCTAGGGGACATCTGGCAGTTTCTGAAGATGTTTTTGTAGGTTGATTCTAGCACCTAGTGGCTATAGACTAGAGATACTGCTAAACATCCTATAGTCTTAAAGACAAAATCCCTCCTACTCCCTGCCCCAGAGAGTTATCTGGGTCAAATGTGAACAGTTTTGAGGCTAAAATGTAGTCAGTTGCTTTTTATTTTCATAATGAAAAAGAAATAAACCTCTACTTCTGTATCTTTTCATCTCTGTGATATTAGTATATTATCACACAATATCACAGTTGACTGAATAATTTTTACTTAATATATCCTCATTTTTATTTGTTTTACTTTTAAAGAAGGTAAATGAAAAGAAATGTCCTCAATGTCAAAGAGTTCTGGTAAAACCAGTGTTAATTTTCTGTTAAGCTTTCCTTTTGATGTTAACAGTTCCTGTGGAACGAATGATGGCAATTTTTTTTTAAAGATTTACTTCATTTAGAAAAACCAGGTGGTAATTTGTATTAGTTTATTCTACAATTATCTTTTGGGACTAACCTTTAACCTTTAAGCCTTTTAATATTTATGTAGAATAAAATAGTTCAAGGAGGCACTGGTCTGGGTGCTGCGGGGGAATGATAAGCACCATCAGCTTATCTAGAATTTATCATCTAGCTGTGCCATTTCCAAAATAACACACAAAACCTTTAATTAGGCTAAATGTGAGATCTTTTCTGACTAGAATCTGCTTTTTTTTTTTTTTAAAGATTTATTAATTTATTTATGCATACAGAATTGGGGTATAAGCCAGAGGTGTAGGAGCAGTGAGAGGATTCATTAGAGACAGAGAGGGGAAGCAGGACAGGTAGATTGACGAAGTAAACTGCTGAGGGGAGCGTCAGGTCTCCTGCAGCGCCATGTGGATCACCTCCAGGGCTGGTGATTGAACCTGCACCAAAGCAGCTGTTGCTAGCTTGCAATGCTGCCTTTTTTTTTTTTTTTAAGATTTATTTATTTGTGCATACAGAACTGGGGTACAGGCCAGAGGCTCGGGGCGGCCAGAGCCTTCACCATAGACAGAGTGGGGAGCAGAACAGGCAGATCTATGAAGTACACTGCTCAGGGGAGCAGCGGGCGGGTCAGGAGAGGTCTGCCACACCATGTGGATCACCTAGGGGCAGGCGGGAATCGCACTCCTGCATAAAGGGAAGTGGCTTTAGCTTCTCAGTGCTGTGCTTTAATCCTCTGCACCACCAGGAGGGCACACAATACTGCCTTTTAACCCATTGTGCCACCAGGGAAGGGCCCTGCTCTTCTTTTTTTTTTCTACATTTGACATTCATGTCATCCTGGCAGATAGCTATTCAATATGCATTTTTTTAATGGAAACTACTTTTTTTTTTAAGATTTTACTTATTTATGCATACAGAATTGGGGTACAAGTCAGAGGTGCAAGGGCAGTGAGAGGATTCACCAGAGACACAGTGGGGAGCAGAACAGGCAGACTGACAAAGTACACTGCTGAGGGGAGCATTGGGTAGATCAGGAGAGGTCTGCCGTGCCATGTGATCACCTCCAGGGTGGGGATCAAACTCATGCAGAAGTGTCTTTATCTTCTTAGTGGTGTGCTTTAACCCGCTGCACCAACTCAGTACACATTTTTTAGTGAACTTAAGTATATAGTAAAATGAATATATTTTTCATGGCAGCAATATGGTAGGTATAATAAATTTTTCTATTAAAGACTTAATGGAGAGTGGGAATTTGAACTCAGTTTTGAAGAATGAGTAGATTTAGACAAGTTGTATGTATTTTCAATAGGATGGGAGGCATGAAAAGCTTGAACTAATGTTCATAAGTGAGTGTGTAAGTTGAGCTTGAGACAAAGTAAATTTTCATCTGTATGAGCATAGGTTTCCTGATAAGGAGTATTAAGAGAAAATTTTTTAGAAATAGAGATTAGAGCCATATTTTAGAATACCAAGCCTTAGAAATTTGGTTTTGTTTTTAGCAGTATAATATTCAACCTAAGGTCATGGCTCTTGAGACAAACTGCTTGGAATCAAATACTACCTCGTCCACCCCTTATTAGCTGATGACCTCTGTGTGTCTCTCTTCATATCTCCAATAGGGAAAAACAGCGCACTAGCATCGTATAGGTTTTATGGGGATATATTGGTTTATAATATAAAACACTTAAATCATTACAGCACATAGCAAGGGCTTATGGTATGTTTGATCCAATAACCTCAGTTGTGGGACATTTATGGAAAGGAAACATTATAAAATAGTGCAAAAAATACATATTCAGAATTGTTCATATAAATCATATTCATCATGAGGAAAAACTAGAAAGACACTAAGAATTATCCAACAATAGAAACTTTAAAATATTTTATAGCATAAAGCTTTTAATATTATATATACTCGTTTTCTTGTAGGACCATTGTGGTTTATTATTAAATGAAAAAAAAAAAAAAAAGGAGATAACAGAGCAGTATCTGTAAAACCAAACCCTGTCTTTAAACCAGGGATAATAATAGTGCTAACTGGGTAGACAGTAGGTACTGTAACATTGTTACCTGATATTCATAAGTGAAATAAGTATGTGAAGTTGGATACCATATTTAATAGATGAGTTAATAATTTTTTTGCTAACAATTTTATGAGGATCAGATATTTCTGTAATTTTAAAAACACAATGCATGAAGTAACTATTAACAGAACTAAACAACATAACGACAGAAGTACAATCATTGTTGAAGGCCTCATTACACTACTGACATGAAGGGATAGATCATATGGACAGAGAATTTGACAAAGAAATAAAGGCCTTAGATGAACTTTTAGAACACATAGAGTTATTAGACACTTGTAGAGTGTTCATCCCAGAAAAAAATAAAGACACTTTCTTCTCCAGTACACACAGAGCATTCTCAAGAATAGATCCACAATATGGCTACTTGGTATTTATCCAAATATATGAAAGCTTTAACATGAGAAGATTTTTCTATGTCTGTGTACATAATAGCACTGTCCACAATTTCCAAGTTACAGATCCAATCCAAATGCCTTTCAAAGATGAATGGATAAAGAATGGTAGAGTATATACTCAGTGGAGTATTACATAGCTGTGCAAAATGAATGAAATAGTGGCATTTGGGGCAATGTGCATGGGTCATGAGGTGATTATGTTAAGTAAAATAAGTCAAACAGTGAAAGAAAGATAGCGGGTAGTTTTATTCATCCATGGAATATATATAAGCAAAAATATACATAGGAAAAATAGTAGGAATAAATCTTGACCTCTTGAAAGAAGATAATGGTATCCAGAGGGAGTAGGGGCTAGGAAAGAGGAGAAGGAGGAAAAGGACAGCATATAGGGGTATGGATACTGGTGGATTGATAGAGTGTGTATATGCACATATAGAAAAAAGAAGAAAATAGTAATTCATCACATGAGAAATATATCTAGAAATATAGAAATTCTGTTCATTTTTTAGTCACCAACTCTAGTGTTTCTTCTAATGTAGTCTTTCTCTCCATAGCTAGAAGTAATCTCTATTATCCAGATTTGCAGTTTCCTTTCTGCTCTTCATTTGTGGTACTTTCTGCATCTATTTTCTGTTTTAAATTGGTTCATTTCTTCTCTCTCGCATTAAATTATAATCTCTCTGATCTCTAGGATTATCTTGATTTAATCTATAACCATCATAGACTTTCTCCTGCAGAGACTGAAAATGTGTTTATTAAATGCATGTGAAATATTTAAAATTTTCTCTACTGCTAGTCTTATAAATGGGTAAGACAGATTACATTTGTAAAGCTTTTTTGTTGTTCATAGATTAGCTGCAAGAAAATTTGTAGGTGCAGCAAATTATCGGGAGAAGATTCATAGTACTTTGACACCATGTGGGACTTTTCTCTTTGCTGGAAGTGAGGATGGAATGGTATATGTTTGGAACCCAGAAACAGGTAAATAACTCATTGATTCAAAACAAGATTAAAAAAAAAATTTGGAATATTTTTCAGGGAAATTCTGGCTTTAAGTTCTTAATTATGTTTTTTAAAATTGGAAGGTTGATAATGGAACTGAGTTACACTCTAAATTTACATTAAATTCTGTTCTTTATTGTTTTGCTATCATAATAGATTTAAAATAAAATTGAAAGTTTATTCTTTTCTTGCTTGTAATGAGATATTTTTGATCTTAGTAAAGTATTTAATGAGTATTTTTCTGTAATGAAAAATAAAGAATATTTTTTCGGTATAAGATGAATTTATAATATTAGCTAAGCATACAAATGGCTAAACATCTACAGAGTACTTTTTTATTAGAAACAAATATTCCTATGAATTTTTGATATCTAAAATTCAATAGCAATTTACTGCAATTCAGGTTTTTTTCCCTAAAACATGCTACTTCCCTTGGGTAGTTCACTTTTGCCTCACCTTGCTTTTCAGAGGGAAAACTAAAATTCCATAATTAAAAAAAAAATTATTTATATAAGAACTGGGGTATAGGCCAGAACTGGGGTATAGAGGGTGAGAGGATTCACCAGAACAAGTAGATTGACTGAAATATACTCCTAAAGGGAGCAGTGTGTGAGTCTGGAAAGGTCTACCGTGTAGGTCAGTTCCCTGGCAGAGCTCAAACTGTGCTGCATGGCTGTGGAGAGCTTCATAGTGCTGTGCTTTAATACCTTTTGCCACCAGGGAAGCCTTTGCTTAAATTTTTCTTGAAACATACTTAGGTAATTTTACAACATTTGCTTTTAAATTTTTTCAATGAATGTTACTTGATTTATACAGTTCTGTTAATCTTCCCTTTAAACATTTTTTGATCTGTCGATTTACTTAGATATTTTTTCTTACTGTGATTTGGTACTTTAGCATCAATTCAGAAATGTTAAATGGATCCTTTTCCTTCGATAACTTGATCTAGATTTTTTATTGAGTTTTCATTTTCACAGTTTCCACAGACCTGTGCTATAGACCTGGTTTGGCCATTAATAATCATAAGTATCTTTAAAACAGGTGCTAATTCCAGTAGTCTGTGAAAAAAGTAATAGAAAATTAATTTCAAACTTAGTTTCCACTGAATTTCTTTACTTTGAGATTCTTTGTTTTGAGATCTGCAGTTTCTCACTTTGTTCTGACTGGAATTCTGTTAGTTGGCATCTGCACAGCTGTGTTGGTTTCAGAGATAGATACTATTCAACTTCCTTCTAAGTTCTTTGTTTTATACCTTGAACACCTCATTTAAAAGGTTGAATTGAGAAGTGGAAAGAGGAAGACTGACAAAATGAAAATAAAGCAGTGATACACATATACTTATAAGTACTTGAGGTTTTCATGTAAACAATGTGAACTTTATTATACTTACTGTAAATATAAAAAATAATCTTTTAATGAGAAATAGACAGTAAAAAATAGTGTATGTCTTATCTCTTTTAGGAGAACAAGTAGCAGTGTATTCTGATCTGCCTTTCAAGTCACCTGTTCGAGATATTTCTTATCACCCACTTGAAAATATGGCTGCATTTTGTGCATTTGGGCAGAATGAGCCAATTCTTTTGTATATTTACGATTTCCATGGTAAGTTCACTACTTGAGGAATAAAGATATTCATAGTAACCTTTATATTTAGACTGAATTAGAATTATGAACGTACATGAAAATTGTCTTTTGTGTTAACAAAGATCTTTTGAATATACTGAGTCAAATGGATTAAAGTTTTTATTATTATATTTCCTTTTCCATAAGCACAGTTATTAAGCTTACATGTAAGAAAATGTGTCCATAATGATTATGACCTTATGTGTATATTTATAGATAAGGTAGTCATAACTTTTTTTGTAAATCAATTTAAATAGAAAATTCACCTAAATATGTTAACTAAATTTATTGTAAAGTTATGTTTATTTTTATATTTTTAATTTTGTATAGAAGAACAGGCCAGAGGTGTGGGGGAGAGAGGATTCATCAGAGATAGAGTGGGGAGCAGACTGGGCAGATTTACTGAAATACATGGCTGAGGAGCAATGGGACAGATGGGAGAAGGTTACTATGCCATATGTGGGTCAGCCTCTTGACCTCGATGGAACTCCGCAGTACCAGCAATGGCAGTAATATTGCTGTTACTTAATCCCAACATGACCAGGAAGGCCCTGTATTAACTAAATTTAAAAGATAAAAAAATTAGGAAATGTGAATCTTATACTTTTAGTTGAATATTGAGTTAATTTCTTATTTTATGTTTTTGCTCTTGCTAAAGCATGTAGTTTTAATGAACTCTTTGAGAGTTACTAAAATAAAAATAAAGCAGATGATTAAGTATCAATAACAACAAAATCTGAATTAGAAATCTAATATTGTTCTTTGCTCTAAAATTACACTGTTCTATCATGTGAGATATAATAGGAAATACAGACTTAGAACACATTCTTTAGGTATAGTAGTACATTCTCAGAATTATTTGGATTTGTGCTGTCTTTGATATATTTCTTTAATTTCAGTTGTGAATTTATAGCTTCATTAGTCTGCATTGTACTGATAGTGTTCTCTCTCTCTCAAAACTGCAACTCCATTTTCTTCATATGTTTCTGTACAAGTAAAAAGTTTTTATAATCTCTTGATTTGCTTCGGATATTATGTATCATGATTGATGTTTTACTGTTTAAGCTGAGATGGTTTATAGTGTTGTATATTATAAAATACATAAATATACATGCAGATAGCAATGTGGAACTACTTGGAGAGTTTTAAATTAATTAAATGTATTTCTTTATGCTAAAACAGATTGTTTAATGATTATTGTAAGTACTAATTACCAAATGAATGAGTTAAGTTCTAAATCTGAAGTTCTTGAACATAGCATGGATTTTCTTATGCCTTTTCAGGCAGATTAAATTAGAGAATAATGTGTAAATTTGAGGTTTATTTTAAAGAACTTTACAGAGAAGAAATAATGTACTTGCTAACACATTCAGATTTACAGAACACTATTACTAACAGTAGAATTGTTAAACAACTCAGTACCATTTACTCTTTTTTTTAAAGACTTATTTATTTATGCATAAAAGAACTGCGGTACAGGCCAGAGTTGTGGGTAAGAGGGATAAGAGGATGCACAGAGACAGAGTAGGGAACAGAACAGGTAGATTGACTGAAATCTGTTGCTGAGGGGAGCAGTGGGCCAGACAGGAGAGGTCTGCAGCGCCATGTGGGTCAGCTCCCTGGCTGGGGATCAAACTCATACTTCAGAGACTGTGGATAGCTTCATGGTGCTGCACTTTAACCCCTTGCACCACCAGGGAGGGCCCCAATTCAGTACCATTTACTCTTACAAGAAATTATTGACAGAAAGAAACTATATACATATTATATATTATATGGATGTATAATATATTACAGGATGTCTACTTCAAAGATATATCTTAAACAAGGTCTTCCTTTGTATCCACTCCAGATCTTCACATAAAGGAGACTTATGCTAAGTACTTAATAATTGGAGCTGTTATTCAGGAAACAGGCACCACAGTTATTTCTTCAGACTTTTAAGAGGTTTCACAACAGTCTTCATTAAATTTCTAATTTGCTTTTTAGGCTTTTGAAATATTTACTATGAATACAAGTTCAAATGCCACTCTTATTAAACTTTTATCCTCAATTGTGTTATGTCACTTCATCAATAGAATAATCCTGGTAAGATTTCTCATTAAGTTTTATACAGTGGGCATTTAGACTAAAAAGTCTATTCTAGAAGCATGAGTAGAAAGAGTCAAGAGTTGCAGGACCCCCAAAACAAGGCTTTTAGGTTCAGTTCTGTGGTCTTGCATAAGTCTCTTTCCTTGCCTAGCTAAAGTGCACTTTTTTGTCTGGTTACTGGTTCTACTGTTAATACTTTTCCTATGTAAGAGATAGGTATTATGAGGGTACTTATTAGGAGAGAGGAACTGTGAAAGTGTTAATAGGGCAACCCATCCTTTCCCCCCAAAAAAAGTACTTTATTTTTTAATAAATACAAACAAAAAAGGTAAAATGGGTTTTTGTATGCCCACTACATATTTGACTTTATGAGAACTTACGTTTTAATAGACTGATAAGTGTCTCTCTATGGAATGGAAATTAAATTACTATTTTTTTTTTTTACCCTTCTCTTTTTGTTCTTTAGCCTTCTCCTTTTATTTGAGCATATACCTTTTTGGGTCAATTGTATTAGAAAACAAGTGCGTAAAGTTAAGAAAATTATGTTCTATTCATGATGTCTTAAGGGTGGTTTAGATTTCTATTGGTGTTTTAGAAATTAAAATGTTCAAATAATGCCATAAAATTAGAGTTATTTTATACAATGTATTTACTGTACAATTTTTAATATACTAGCACACCTTTAAAACAAAACTCAAAATATTTCAACACATTTTCCCAACTCTTTGCTGCCTATTTTTAAAAAGAGGAAGCTTAGGAAGAAGTTACATAATCCCAAGCAATCCAAGATTTAGCACAGTTTTTGTGAATGGTATATATCCATAAGTTCTTTCTTTCAGACTTTAAAATATTTTACTTATTAATACAAGTCAAAATCAGTTCAGATAGTGTTTAAATCTCATATGAAAATTATATGTGCTATTGGCGTATTATAGTTTTGCCTTCCCTTTTATTTATTTATTAATGCAACAATATTTTGTCCAAACTTTCTTATCTGAAAATGAAGTATAATTGCAGTTTTAGATAACACTTTAATGCTATAAGATTTGAACAATGTAGTATACTTGCATGATTTTTAACTGGTATTATTCAGAGTTGCTGATATACATAGGTAATTTTCAGGGAAAATGGAGTAAGCTCATTCTTTATAAGTCAAATTTACTGTGAATGAGACCACAATGGTAGCTAAATGTATCACTCATCTTTCAGTTCTAGCAAAATCTGTGAAGAGTCAGCAAGCATCTTTCCTTGTTAGGCTTACGTTCAGGTTGTGGTCTTTTATTCTACTGACTTTTTGCTTTTTTTGGTAATAAATACGATTTTTACTTTCAGAAGCCAGTTTTATTTGCCTGGTATTGAAAGGGTTAATCATCTAGTAATACAAAATTTAGTCACAGAGTACCACAGACAGTGTACTTTTAGGATTCCCATAATAACAGAGGACTAGTCAGAGAAACGGCTTATACTGAATTAAATTTATGGAGCTATATTCCAGCAATTAATTTCCTGGTATTAATGAGTATTTGTCTACCTGAAGAAACATGTTCTACATTTAATAATAATTATAGCTAGTACATAGCACTTTTCTGTGTTCCTGGTACAGTTTGAAACCTTTTACATACACTTATTTTTCATAGTAATCTTAAAAAATACTGTACTTCTTCCCATTTAATAGGAATCAGGATTTAAATCCAGAAATCTGAATTTAAAGTCCAAGCTCTTACTTGTTAACTGCTTTTTAGCAGATTTCCTGAAATACTAGCTTTTGAGTGTCTGATAAACCAGTATTTTATTTTTCATGCATGATCTTTTACTCTATGCCTCTCACTGGAGTATGTGATTTCTTAGTGTCCGTTATACTTTGTGGGGGGGCAGAAATGAAAGCCTATTCATATTTTTCTTATCAGTGCCTAACCTAAATACTGACATATAATCAAAATGCATATAATATTTTATGTGGATGAAGTCTTCATTTGGAAATTTCTCAACATTATTTGATGCTCTTAGGTAATGAGCTAAGTTTTTCACTAGGTGGCAGTATCTCCTCCAAGTCAGAATTCATTTTGGCATGATTTACAATGGTATAGTGCCTCAGGCAAGATCATCTTTATTGAACACTTACTGTGTGCCCAGATGGAGAAGGTCATGAAGCCTAGGAAATACGTGCAGATGGATTATCTTTTGCTTTTCCAGTCCTTTATGCTTCTTAATAGTTAAACTGATAAACTAAAATGATTTCATTTATATAATTCATATTCATTAATGATCTACATTATTATTTTTTCACACTGATAAATTCTGTGAAATGTATGCTTTTAGAGTCCTATAAACACTTTGTGATATAATGTGCTTAAATCCATAGTGTTTGTAATGCCCTATGTCAAGCACAGTACCTGGACTATTACTGATATCGAATAAATGTTTGAAATCATAATCACAGATATTATAGAACAACATTTTTCCCTTAAATTTTATAAAAGTATGGAATGAAAAGCATGATCAATTAGTAAAACAGTGATAATGGTGGTGTTGGGAGCAGCAGCAGCAGCAGCAGCTAACATTTATTAGGCATGTGCTGTGTACCCCTTCCACTTGAGAGCATTTTGCATACACATGGTGCCTGCAACACCCTCACTGTCGATGCTGTTTTCCAGATTATGAAACTGAGGTACAGGGAGAATGAGATAATTCACCTAAGAGCACAGTTAGTAAATTATAAAACTACAATTGATTTCTGGGTGACTTCAAAGCCTGTGCTATTAAAACGGTAAGCTGTCACAGCTACTTCGTCTTTCATGTTCTGTTTCATCAAGTAACTTAAATTAAGACTGTAACTTAAGTTTCCTCTGGTGAAATATATTGTTTTTAACTTCAGTATTAAGAACAAC